CAGCGTTTGTTCCTTTTGGGGCATGCGGCACATGGCCTCCAGGAACACGCGAAGGTAGTTGAAGTACTTTCGAATGGCTTGTCGGTTCTCGGAACGCAAGGTCGAGTTGAGCTGCGAGTAGATCCAATTTCCAGTGTAGAGCACGATGGAGCCATACAACTCCTACATCGGGCAAACTGTGAGAATGTCTTATTTACCCGGTGAAAACGTTGGTGGTATACCTTGTCCATAGGTTTCGTTGGGGACCCAGCTTTCGCCTTCACCAGTTCTGCCCCACGAGATTGGCATTGCTTGATGGCTCCAACTGTTCAAATGGCAAAGTTAGCAAATGTAGTTGAAGCATGGTGTTAACGTACCTTGAGTGATGACAGAAGCAGCTTCAAGCAATGTGGACGGAAGCGGCAAGTCCATGATGCCTTCAATGGGAGCCAATCCAGTTTGTTCTTCCATGTCATCAAAGCCCATACGAAGCCAAAAGTCCAAGAGCGCTTCCTTCTCTTCGACCAACTTGGTTGAACCCAAAGGTGGAGGGCGATTGCGACCAGCCAACGTTGGGATAAGCGAATAGTACTCCCCCGAGAGCTGATTTATGGTATTGGCGCCTGCTCGCGACGAGAGTGCAGCTTTGATCTTCTCCAATACGACTTGTCCCTTGTGAATTTGGGAAGCTGACAATTTCCCCATTGCCGCATCACCTGCGCCACCGTCGCCCGTTTCAGTCGTGTCCAACTCGACCAACTGGTACTTGTACGAGTGCTTCACAAACGCATGTCTATCGGCCCATTTGTTTCGCGTTTTGTCGGAGAACTTGGCCTCGAACTGCGTGATCGCTCGGTCCAAGTCGTGGCCAAATGGCGCAAGCTTGTGCTGGCCGGCCTCCCCCAGTCGCCCCCATCGCGTAAACACGTAGTATGTGTGGTCGCTTACCGACTGCAGAAGTTGGATGATGTAAAACTTGTTGTTGTTCGTGCCCAGGTTGGTCTGCATGAGGTCCGTCAAATAGTCGTCGACGATTGTAAACTGGTCACGGCTGGCCAAGAATCGATCGGGTTTTCGTGCACCAATGCGCTCGGTCTTTGCTTCGTCGGCTTTGGGCTTCTTGGGTGAGGAAGGAGAAGTCTGTTCCGGCGCTTCTGCTTTGGCACGTTTTTTACCCTTCGTGACTCTTTTGGGAGGCGCAATGGGTTCTTCCTTCACCTCATCTTTCACGGCGACTTTCTTGCCTCGCTTTGGCTGTATAGCCACTGCTTCCATAGCAGGTTCCTCCTGTGGCTCGGGTTTGACCGCACCCAACGCTTGCACAAACTTGGACTCGCTCCACACCTCGACTCCGCTAGGTGCCTTTGTCGCCTCATCAGCAGCTACCAAGACAGTGGTCCGCCTGGTAACAGTTGACGTCACGGACGCTCCCGCCGCTCGAGCTTGAGCAATCGCGTCGGCTCTTGAGTAGCTCCTGAGTTTGCCCACGAATGAAATGACTTGACCTTGAATTGTCATATTGTCCGAGATTTGAAGTGTGATGTCGCATGCACAAGTCGACATTGCGATCAACATTCAACGACTTTGATGTATTACGGGAGTGATGGTAATAGTTTTAAGTCAGAGTGCAGGTCGCAGTTGTCATGAAAGAGAAAGGCCGAGACCGCTACCGACCATTACTGAAATAGAATGATATTTGAGCGAACAAGCACCTCCATATACCTCTGGCACACGTCACCATAGCATCGATTCGGATAGTATATCGGTGTCGTGGGCTGCATGTCAACTAAACGGGTGGCCGCATGCACAGCAAGCCGATCAGGTCATCTTCTCAACCTCTGACGTTCGTCAATGCAGCGTGAGGGGCAGCGGCCGCAAAAACAAGTAAATATATATAAACATTATCTATGGAATACATTAGCAAATAATGATGAATTAGAAATTGATATATCATCTCCCAAGTTGGCACGAATATTCCGGAATTTTTGTCGATATTTTTGGTTCAGGCGAGAAACGCGTCACTCTATTTAAAGGTTGACCAAATGACTGGAATTTGCTTCGAATGCGATTTGAACTACGTCCACTCTTTGCCTCGGTCGCACACGCACAAGTCTTCTACCAAAGCCCAGCCACGCAAGATGAAGAAAGCCTTTCAAGATAATGCACGCATGATGTTCCTGGGGCCACCTGGCGTCGGCAAAGGCACGTACGCCACTCGCATAGCTCCCAAGTTGAACATCCCGACCATTTCCACCGGTACGATCGCCGCCGTCAGTGTTGACCCAACATGGATGGCTTGGCAGGCGACTTGGTTCGCGCCGAGATCAAGCGAGACTCGGCTTTGGGCAGACAAATCAAGGAGTTCAGCGCGACTGGCAAGTTGGTCCCGGACGAGATTATCTTGACCATGGTGCGAGCCCGCCTGCAAGAACCGGACGCCAAGCGCGGGTACATTCTGGTAAGTTTTGCATACAGTTCCATCACCTTGCTTCACATCTCGGAAGGATGGCTTCCCTCGCAACGCCAGCCAAGCTGTCGAGTTCGACAAAATCGATACGTTGGATCTCGTTGTTAACTTTGACCTGCCCGAATGGGTGCTCTTGGAGAAGATCAGCGGCCGTCGGTAGGCCTCTATCGAGTCATTACGAGCCACTTTGAACCAGCTTCTTCCGTGTAGAATGTGCTCGTCGTGCGGGACAGGTTTCAACGTTGCCAACATCAACAGCGGCGAGTACGTCATGCCCCCATTGCTTCCAAAGGTTCGCGTCTCCTAGGCAGCGATGTGGTAAGCAGCCGAGCTGACGTTTAGTGTATTTGCAGGTGGACGGTGTTTGCGACAAGTGTGGCGGCGCGCAGCTCGTGCAGCGACCGGACGACGCCGTCGACGTCGTGCGACACCGGTAGTTGCAATCTCGCGCGATGCAAGTTGACGTTGTGGCACAGGTTACAAGTGTATGCGGACGAAACGGAGCCATTGATAGCTTACTACGAAGCAAAAGGTGCATGCGACGTCAAACGGATATGTTCTCACGACTGGCTTCGTAGGAGTGCTCCAAAACTTCCACGTGACCAAGGGCCTAGCCGACTTGGATCGATTGATGCACGTCTTGGGGATGCCCGCTTCTGCTACCAGCAACCTGTAGCGTGGTGTGTGCGAGCCTAGACTAGTCGGCACTGAATGCTTTACCACGACACATAAACAGCTCCATGCATCTTCTAAACGGTTCGTTTCAATTGGTAATACGAGCCGAGCTGACTCGCAAACGCCGTGATGGCCTCGACAAGCTCTTCGCCCGACGATCGAATCGACGCACTTGGTGCCATAAAGCCATTCTCCCCTCGTAGCTCGATCGTCAACGACGGAGTTCGGTTGAATGTCAAGTACACCATGTCCTTGAACGTTCCTAGCATACTCCATAAAGCCACCACATGCGCGATTCCAACGGCTTACCAGAGTACAGCAAGCCTTGGTACAGCGCATGCCCTGGAATGCTGGTGTATGGCACGCCTCGGGTCGTTCCACTTGCTACAAGCACGTCAAACAGGCCGACTCTGCTCATGGGAATGGGCACCGCACCGGCATTGTTCATGGCGTTGGCCACATACTGTCCCAACGTGGACATGGCGGCTTCGTCGTTGCCAGGCAAAGGTTCCTGTCAACTCAGCTTCGTCACAGCGTTGCACGTACAAATTGCAGTGGATCGCATACGCTGGAGACAGAAAGGGGACGCACAACGACCCCCGCCGTCGTGTGGATATCGAGAGCTCCACGCAGACGTGTTTGGATCGAGTCGAGAAACGCTGCAATCTACATCGTCCATGTGGAAAGCCACGTGCGTACGTAATTCCGTACCCCTCGCGTTTCAGGCTCGCTAGTGGCATACAGACCAGAATACATCTCACTGAACTCGTCGCTCGACGGAGTGAAGAAGTCCCTCGGACCAAAGTTTCGATTCAAGTCGACCCCGTGCAAGTTCTTTCGCCACAGGCGGTTCCGCGGGGCTGCCCATGTGAATCGATACCCGTCCACATTCACGACAGGGACAAACACCACGTCATACGCCGCCAATGCCTACGACCACTCTTGAGTTAGGAATTCGAGTTTCCTGTTCTTGAACGATCGCAGGTCCTTTCCTTGGATGGTGGCGTCGTCACGATTCGTGTCATGGAGTACACGATAGATGAAATGGAAACCCATTCCCGAGGGTGGATACCGGCTTGGATGTACAGCAATGACCGGTCTTTGGACGGCGCCATGGAGTCGGTGGAAGCCCAGTTGTAGCCAAATATGGGCCGTCCTACGTCATCAGGAAAGCGTCGGGTGGAGTGGCTGTGTACGCACCTTGAACAGAAGTGGCAATTTGGACTTTGGACAGCTGACGGTGTGGTTGGTCCACACGCAGCAAATGCTCGAGAAACACAGAGATTTCGTCGTGGTTACGAAAGCAGTCGAAAAAGGGATGCAGGGTGTTGACCGAAGCCGTTGTGTTTGTGGTGCCTTGGCTGTGATCATGGCAATTTTGGGTGTCGATTGCTTCACGTTGCCAAACATCCAAGACGGGTTTCGTCGGTAGCGGAAGCCCACACGAGAGAATGCACATCAAGATTTGCCAACAACGACGAGCCATGGTGTCGACTTGAACAATACACTACAGGGCACAATCGGCATCCAGCTTGATGGTAGCGGACCTCGCCCATCCATCTTCATTCTTTATTTTGACTACCGTGGCTCGCATCAAATGGGACTGCCGTTGCCAGCATGGACGCGACGAAATGTACTGGTGCCATTGTGACGACGGTGCGTGCCCCTTTATCCGACACAAAAAAAAACGGTTCAGGAATCCGTACCCTTTCAAGATTCCGTTGTAGCCAATCAAACGCGAGCATTTGGATTAATTGCACTATTTTATCCAATCCGTCGTAGTCTCAACATCCACTATATTTAGTGCCGACCAGATCGCCAAACGCCACGCGCGGGTCGATGGCACGGCGGGGTCAACACGGTATTCTTCAACTCTCGTTTGGATGGTAGCTCAACCGCTTGTTGTGCTGGACGCAGCGAACGTTGCCACGGTCGTGCGAGGGGCCGTGCGAATCCAGCGGTTGCAAAGTGCCATCGACCACTTTGAACGAGTTGGGGTTCGGTGCATTGCGTTTGCTCCGGGATACTGGACCAAGTCGAAAGCCGTCACTCCACGAGGTCGGCAACAACAGTCTGCGGAGATGGAACTTGACCAAAAATCCGAGATGGCGCTCGTGCAACAGCTCGTTCTCGCCGAGAAAGTTGTGTTGACTCCTCCCCAAGCGCATGACGACCTGTTCATTATCGACTACGCGATGAAGCACGACGGGTTTGTCTTGACGAACGATATGTTTCGCGATCATGTGGCCAACAAGGTAAGGACTCGATAGCTCGTGGTCCCTCGCGGTTCACATGGAAAGTGATGGCAGATGCAATTTCATGGCAAGGAGTTGACTGAAGCGTGGGTGAAGAGCAACTGCATCACGTTTGCTTTTGTCGGCACCGAGTTCCTGCCCAGTGCGCAGCACATGCAGGCCCTCTTGCGCCCAAAGCACCCACTACCCAAAACAGTTGACGTAACTAGCAGTCCTCGATCCAAGGCAGTGGAAGGAAGTCCTCGACTCTCCACCAACTCGATGGCCACCAAGCCTGGGCTTACCAAGAAGACTCCGCTTCCTGCTGCGCCAAGCGGTCGTTCCAGCAGTCCACGTGCCAAATCTCCAGCTTCCTCCAGGGACAACAGCACCACCAAGATGTCGGACACCCGGACGACCGCGGCACGTCTGACCATCATCACATCACACTCACAACCCCAGCCGCCAGACGACGAATTGAGCTTTGAAGAGGAAGTTCGCACAAGTCTTCATCCCTCCACTACTGAACAGGCTCCACAAAAACACCAACGCACAGCAAAGACACCAGTGCAGTCGCGGGTCTCCACACCGCGTCATAGCACGCCGTCCAAGTCCAACAACATGTACAATTCCCTCGACGAAACGTCCGCATCCAGCGACGACGACAAGGCGCACCGCAGCAAGAAGCATGCAAGCCAACACGAAGAGCCCCACGAAAGTCGACCGAATATCCTAAACGACTGGAACGCACTCCAGTCGATCATTGCCAAGTGCAATCTGCCAGCGGTCGCTGTCCGCTCGACCAACAACCAAGAAGACGACATCTCTGTCACACATCCCAATCCAAACCAGACTGCCGTCGTCGCCACGAAGGTATTGACTCCATCGCAAAAAAAGCGAGGACGTCGACGTGCAAATTTGAAGAAACAAGCTGCCGCTGCAATGGTGTACCGCGGTAAGCTCTGGGTCCTCTGCGCTATCCCTTTGGTGGGGGGATTGGTGCTAAATTCCTTTCTTAGTGCGAACCCCCCATCCATAGGGAGAGTGTGAATTAGATCGTTCCAGCGGGGCTGGTTGCATCTGCTCTGTGGCAACCCCGCAGTGCCGATAGAATTCACAGCAATTTACACTCGTTGCCGTGTTTGCTTCGCCGTGTCTCGGCTGTGTGGAGCACACGCTAACGACGCTCCTTCGCAGAGCCACTCCATGCAGTCCGATCAAAAGTTTAGTGCTAGTCGGCAGCGGGATCATGACGCCCAACCACCACACGTGGGAACAGTGGTGCCCCCGCCTATATTGTACTAGACTCGCGCTCCTTTTTGTTATTCGCATCATGGCACGTAGCGCAACTCGAGTGGGAGTACTCGGTGCTGTCACATCCGTGCGAAGACGTGGTGTTGTAGTCGTGGTGATTCATCTCTCGCCGCAAGGTGTCCACAACAAGGACGCCGCTCTTGTTGCAAAGCGAGGGCTTCCTTTCACTGGGAATTTTGCGGCGGCGTCAATGACTCTTCGCGTGGCTGCAGAAGCCTCGATTGCTACGTGCACCGGCACCGTCGCACTATCGAACCTTTATGCAAGGGCAGTGCTACATACTCCCCTGAGTTGTCGGACTTTGATTGAACGGCACAAGGTGGCGCCGATGGCTGCACTGCCCTACGTCGTAACGATCGAATGGATCTGAGGACATCACATCTGAGAGCCAAGATGTCGTCCGCGTGACGCAATTTGTCTTGGTGACGAGGCACACACCTTCCCAATGCGCCAACAGCAACGGTACAATGTGGCTGGATACAAAGACGACCAGGTTCCCACTGTCAGCACCGGCCGAGGCCACCGTAAGAAAGCGTGTACGAGAAGCGGAGCCGACTACGAGACGACGATGGCTAGAGCTCGGTCTCTGGATCGTCCGGTGTTCCGCCTGCCGCATCCCATCGCGCTCAATTTTTGATCGTCAGCGATTAAGATCTGTGACATTTGATATAATTCAATATCCAATATCAGAGGTATCATAAATTGATCGGAGCGGATCTTTGAAATGTCCTTTGGGGGGAAGGTTGTCGCGTTCACGGGCAAGCTCGAGACATGCACACGCGCGGAAGCAGCGACGAAGGTAAAGGACGCGAGCGGTGCTGTCTCGTCTTGCGTGACGAAGAAGACGACGCATTTGGTCGTGGGCGGTGACGGCAAAGTTGACAAGGCAGCACCGGGAGTTGTGATTTGGACAGAGGCAGAGTTCATGGCGGCGTTGTCATCCAGCACAGACGAGACAGAGGAACCTGCACCACTCATCCCTGTGACGGTCAAAAGCGACGCGACGACATCTAAATTGTTGGAGGGAAAGGTAGTCGCGTTCATGGGAAAACTCGCGACGTATACGCGAGCAGAAGCGGCGTCCAAGGTCAAAGCTGCCGGTGGAGAGGTGTCTTCCAGCGTGACGAAAAAGACAACGCACTTGGTTTCGACGGAAAATCATAAGGCGGTACCCGGGGTGGTGGTGTGGACTGAAGCGCAGTTCACGGCGGCGCTTGCACCTGGCGACGCGGGAGCAGGACCTGCATCACCGATTGCCACCGATGTGAAAAAGGAAACATCATCATCTCCAGCAATTGGCAAAGGGAAAAAACGTATGGCGTCTGCGGACGCGCCGGCGACGCCCGTGAAGAAAGCCAAGGTCAAACACAGTGCCGAGTTGCCTGTCGAGTCGCCCATTCGCATCACGACTCGAAAACCCGACAAGCACTTGGCATCGCGGGATCAATTCACAATTGTCAACGACTTCACGGCGGATTTGATGCAAACCAACATTGGCGAGAACAACAACAAGTTTTACATCATTCAACTGCTCCAGTCCACGCAATCCCGCTACCTCGTGTTCACGCGATGGGGGCGGCTCGGCGACGTGGGGCAGCAGCAGCTTGTCGATTGTGGCGATAGCCTTGACAAAGCAATGCAGCTTTTTGAAAAGAAGTTCAAGGACAAAACCAAGAACAACTGGTGTGATCGGTACGCATTCGTCAAACGGGACTTTCAATATCAGTTGGTTGAGCTCGATGCGTCCGAGTCGGGAGACGGCGGCGGTGGCGGGGACGCGGCCATGGGCAAGTTGTCGGCTGCCCAGATCGAGAAAGGCCAGGCAGTGCTGGAGAAACTCAAAACTGCCATTCAACAAGATCCCAATGCCGTGACAGCTCTGTCTGGCGAATACTACTCGCTCATCCCGACTCTGAGCGGCCGCCAGCGGCCGCCCCCGCTCACCACGATGGAACGGATTGAAGAAAAGGCGGCTTTGCTTGGTACATCGGCTTTCGCTCTTTCCAAGCCATGCACGTGGACATGCACCAACGAAAGGATGTGTAGACTTTTGGCTTCGGATGGGATTTGACGACATGGGAGAGCAATCGGGCTTGGCTCCAATTCAAGGCATCATGGACTTGCCATTGCCAACGAGTCTGTTGGCTGCCTCGTCTGGCATCACTACTGGTACTCTATCAATCATGGTCGTCATGGCTAATTCTTGCTGGACGACCGTATCAGCCGCCGCGATCAAGCAGAGCCTGTCTCGAGGGGCAGAGCTGGCCAAGAGCAACGCAGGATCGCCGACAGGTCCTATGAACAAGGTCATCCCGTTGACGCTGGATGTCCCGGGTTGATGTCGATATAGGATTTATATGGCTCCATCGTGCTGTACACTGGAAATTGGATCTACGCTCAGCTCAACTCGACCTTGCGGTACGGCATCCATCGCGGAAACGACTCGATCCCGTTCTTGCTAGGTCCGAGAACCGACAAGCCATTCGAAAGTACTTTAGCTACCTTCGCGTGTTCCTGGAGGCCATGTGCCGCATGCCCCAAAAGGAACAAACGCTGTGGCGTGGCGTGAGCGTCGATTTGTTCGACGCATACGAAGAAGGCAAAATCATCACGTGGTGGGGCGTCAGCAGCTGCACGTCGGACGAAAACGTTGCACGTAACTTTATGCGAAGCTGCGGCGGGTCGTGCACGCTGCTCCGTGTCAAGTGCAAGACTGCGATGGACATTTCCGTGCTGTCCATGTTCCCAGGAGAGAAAGAGTGCTTGCTGGCGCCTGGCACGCAGCTCAGAGTGCTCCAGCGTGTGCGCCATGGCAACATTGCGGAAATTGACGTCGAAGAAGTCGGCCGAGCGATTTGAGAGACGGCACTGCAGAATGTGGCATTGCCTGACGTGGACAGATGCTGTCCGACGTCGTCCAAGCCAAGAGATGGCCATGCGGCATGCCATAGCTCGTCCTTTTGAACCGTGGCGCACTCCATCTCTTGACATGACGTTTCTCGCTCACACAAGTCCACTCGTCCTACGCTCCTCGAATGCAGTCATGACTGCACTTCCCGATGTCTAAGTATACAAGCCGTGGCGTTGACTTTAGAACCACAGTAGCTTGAGCTTGAGCATCCTCTCGAGGAAATTGGGCACGTCAGCGATGGGCTGGAAATCGCTCCGAAGCACCACCACCACCACCGGTCATGTCATGGAGACTGTCGGCGGGAGGCGCAGCGTCCTAAATCGTCGTTGCGTCGATCACGCAGTTGTTCGTGGTGCTGTTTGGTTCCTGGAGATGACGAGACGAACGCACGACGCGCGTTCGTTCGATATCGTCATCGACGACGAGATGAAACCGTTGGCAGTGTCGTTTCGACGGTCCCTGAAAGGTCGCGCATGTGAAACGGTCGGGAGTCTCCAGAACACCAGGCTCGGCAACATGGCGTTGCCGGTGCAAGGATGCACGAAGCGCGTGCGTGGCTTTCTCAAGGCGCGCGGGCCTCAAATCTTTGGCACCACGACGGCCGTGATCTGCGCCGTGTGCATGGTGCTCGACGTGGCCATCAACAACTGGGACCTGAACGACTACATTGGGAATGCCAAGACATTCTTCACGCCTGTTTTGACCAAGGTCGCGTCCGCCAACGACCTGAAACACTACTTTTCGTTTCCCACGGACGCGTCGCCGTACAGCGTGTCCAGCGCTGGCCGATTCATCCTAAACCACTCGCTCGCAGCCATCCATGCGCGCGAGAAGAGCCACTACTTTCTCGCGGCAGGATCGTTCGTGGTACTCGACAAGGTCAATGACATATGCCGTCACCTGGCCGACGTGTACCCTGTGCCTCCAGGCGCCAAGACGACGCAGCTCGGCCACGTCCTGGACGAACTCGTCCACGTTCGAGGGCCAACGCTGTACAACCTGTTTATGGGGCCGTCGCCCCCGCCTCCCGCCGGTTCGAACGCCAAACAGTTGGCAGAGCTCGGCTATCGACCCGCTCGCGTGGATGCCGACATGCGGCTAACGACAGCGATTCCCATTCCCACCCACGGCGTGGTGGTGCGCACCAACTTGTCCATGTACCGGTTCAACGCGCGGTCTTTCTGCACGGGGTGCTTGCCGATCATGGAGATGGGCGTCGATAGGTGCACGGTGCAGATTCAGTTCAACGCGACGACGCAAGTGCTGACCGTCCAGTCGAGTAAGCCGATCTATGGTCAAAAGCGCGCGTTGGGGATGATGCTGAGCCGGTCGAATGCGACAACGTTAGCCTTGTGGGTGCGATTTACGTGCGTCGTGTACTTGGCCGTGTCGTTCTCGACGAGCCGCAAGACAGTGCGGTGGACGAACCGGTCGACGCTCTCGACATGGTACGAAAAGCTCGGGTACATGGTGTCCCCGACGCTGTATCGGTACCCCAGCAACGCGTTCAGCCTGTCGTTCATGTCGTTCAACAGCGACGTGTTCGTGGGACTGTACTTGGTCGCGGTGCTGCTCGATGAAACGTCGAGCGCGGTGTTTGCCAGGAGCTTGTACCGGTGGAACAAAGGCGCGAACGACAGCTTTGTCGTCCTGCGCCTGTGGTCCATCAACATTCGCATGCTGTGGTTCAATTGTTTTGTCCTCAAGGTGCTCAAGCGAGGGGCGAGCTTGGTCAGCACGGCCCGCCACACCGGGGCGAACCACGTCGTGGGGTTTTTCAACTTTAGCAGCGTCACATGCATCTACTTTGCGTCCATCTTTCTCCTCCAACGCGACAAGTTTACCGACTTTATCAACGCCGACTACACGGCCGTCGATACCCGCGACAACATCCTTGACGGCCTCTCGGTGAATTTCTTTGAAAGCTGGTTCGTTCGCACGTACACCGGGCAGCTGGTCGCGCTCGTCATCAACTTGATCGTCGTGCTGTGCCTCGATCACGCGATAAACCGATCGTGGTGGCGCAACGTGGCGCAGAATTCGCTCGGGCGGCAGCTCATGTTTAACACGACCGCGATTGTGAGTGATCTCGGGTACAAGCTTATCGAGGTGCCCAACTACGACGGCAAAGCCATCTCCCTCCACGTGCGCGCGCTCTGCACGGTCCATTGGTACCTCTCGTGCTTTACCTTAAAATTCGGCTTGCCAGAGCACCATCGCAAGTATGCCGCCATGAAGTTCAGCAAGAAATCGGCCGCCATGGAGGATGGACATAGTCGCAAGACCGTCGGCGACCGCAACCTGGCCACCATGCGCCGGTACTTTGTGCGAAGCGCGCCAGATTGCATCCCGGAAGATGAAGCAGGCGGTGGCAGCCACGACAAACAACGCGAGAACAGCGCCGTGTTTCATGAAATGTACCTCCTCTGCCAAGACGATGAAGGCAATATCTCGCTGTGCAACCATGAAAAAGACGCTGTGCAAGTGCTGAGCATGGAGGTGAAGATCATGGCCGACGCGCTCTACACGGTGGCGTGATGGCCGCGCCATCACACAGCAAACTTGCCATCCCTGCATGAACTCCACATCCAATTTATATTGCCGCTCTGACGTGTCTCGAATGTGTGTGCCAAGCACGGCCTCGACTAGCGCGCAGTTCAGTTGCTCCTGCAGTTTCCTTTGCAGCGTCCGAGCGTTGGCTCGACCGATCCCAACATGCAGCGATGTCTTCCGTGGCCATCGGATGGGCGCGAGATGCTCTAGACTCTTTCGCCACCCATGGCAACGTAGCTCGATGTGCGCGGGGGCCGTTTGGGAATCCGACGCGATTCGACATGACTTCAGCCATGCCTCCTTTTTTCATCGCTCGCTCGCTCTCCCCCGTCTATTTTGTTTGAGGTTCGCATGACGCAAAAAAGAGCGCAGGTCTAGTCTGTGCAACTCGCATCGCTGGAGCAAAAGGATGGCTGCATGTAAAGAATGCGATGTGAGCAACCGCGCTCGTACCGCCCAGAGCCGACCGCATTCCGACCGACTCCACTTGAATACACGCAGCCCACCGTGCAAGTTCCACGTCTGGGCCACAATGGCGAATCGCCACGTGAACGCATCGACGTTTGCAATGAAATCGCAGACTGCAAAGGACCTGCTGCACGTCCCCACGCCATGTCGTCGAACCATGGCGTCGACGGGCTTGGCTTGATGGTCACGCGCGTTTGACGGACTGCGGCGTCGCGCCTTTTGCGTGGGCCCACGTGGCTGCAGCCCATCCCGCAACGTTCGGAAACAGCAACCCTGCCTTCTTCGCGTACGCTTCGCCTCCCTCCTACACAGCGGAGCGACGAGAGCTGGCCCAACCGAACGTGCATCGACCGTACCTTCTTGCGAAGCGACGCATCCTTGGCAATCATGTTGGACATGAACATGGCCGACCAAATGAATGCCAGCCACGCGTACGGAATCCAGTGGTTGGCGAGGAGGGCATAGGACAAATACAGCATCATCTCGCCGAGGTAGTTCGTGTTGCGACTCCAAGTGACCCATCCATCCCTGCACACGCACACAAGTGAGTTCAACGGATTCGTTTCGATGAAATGCGTACGAAATCAGGCCCTTCTTGTACTTGAGCGTGAAGTACTTTTGCGTGTCTGCCGCCAGCATCAACGTCGTTCCGAGCGTGTGGAGCATGATGCAAACCGCTGCCAGCGAAGGCGACGCTTCGACACGATGCGCCACGACAATGTACCCCGCAACCCAGTACAAGCCAAGCCCGGTGACGGCGACAACAGCGGACGGAATCGTCAAGTACACCTTCCAGCTCGCGTCGGGAATCGTAATGTCCTTCAACAGCCAAATAAACCCGTAGATGCCATGGTCTACACAACATCGCACAGCGCTTCCATGAGCAACCTTTGGGGCAACAAAGAGCAGTGGAAGGCGGCGGATACGTACTGGCCAAGTACACGTGCGCGGTCCACGACCAGTTGTCGAAGTACGCCATGCACGCCAGCACAAACAAGAACGTCGCTCCCTTCTGCACGTTGATCAAGTAGCGGAATTGGATCGGCCGAGGCCCGCCGATCAGGTCGACCGACACGTATTGCTTGAACGGGCACACGTACTTGAGGTACAACGCGTCCATCGCCCGCCGCCGCAAGATACCGAGTGTCGCTCGCTGTTCCGAGAGGTTTCGCAAACGACCGGGTGATTTTACAGGATAATAGTTCTTTAAATCCTATAGAAGCAATTTCAAAATTACCTTTTTATCCATGTACAGTATTGAATGTATATAATTTAACCTTCTTGACAAATATCACTATTTAATTTAGATGAAAAATATTTAATTGAGTAATCAATCGAGGATTCCAACGGGCACTGCCGCCGTCGCGTGCGATGGCCATGGCGAGCCGGGTTTGGTATTGCATCGTGGACACGTCCTCGAACGACGGTCTCCACGAGCGGATGCTCGAGAGAGGATCTCGGTGGTCGAGTCACGCCCAGCGATGGCGTCACTTGTACCGCAGACACACACATAGCGCCCCGCATCAAGGGGATCCCGCGAGGCGTGGTCGTGTGTGCGTACGAGACGATCGAGTCCATTTAACATTCCTTTCATGGAAGCCGCCGTCCCTGCCTTCTCCGTAAGCCCTCTGGCACACACGAGCCTGACGGCAGGACAAATCGATGGGTCCTCCAAGGAAGAGATGGAAGCGTGTCATGAAATTGCCACCATACTTATGACCGAAATCAACTTGTCTGAAGCCAACGCGGCACTACGTGAGGACGTATTTGGCATCTGCTTGGACATTCACTTCCATGCTCAAGGCTTGGATTTCGGTCTTCCGGGCATTGAACAAGTGGATGTATCCATCCGAGTCTTGGGTCACCATGAAGAATTCATTGGCCACCGACGCACTCGACTGCTGCCGACCTTCCCTCCACGTCCCGACGCTGCGACGTTGCGTCGTCGTAACTACTTGACTGAGGGCGGACCCTGCTTTGGAGGTCATCCCGCGGACATTGGACGGGTCTTCCGGGAGTCCAAAGCGCAGGGTGTGGCACGTGAGGAACCATTGCATCATGCAAAGCGATCGCACGGACATGGAGATGGCTTGGCCTTTAAAGTCGGGCCAGGTGAGGAAGGAATACCCCACATCTGCGATGATCGACGTCGAGTTGTACAAGTGCTGGCGCCCGAGCGAGTTGTTGGCAACTTGGTGGCGCCACTTGCGGTTGATAGCCACGTCCAGAGTCAGCACGGCCATCAAGCTGACAAACATCAAAAAGATCAAGCCAGGGTACCCTCGCATGAGCACACTGTTGAAAAAGTCGACCGTGATGCCGTCCAAGAGCTGCGTCGCCGTCGTGAGCGTGGCCACGTCCGAGTTGCCATAGTCCATAAAGTTGTTGCGGTACATGAGGGGGATGCCGGCCAAGTAGACGTACGCAATCGTGCTAAAGTTGAAGTACCCGACGACAAAGTTGCGCCCAGTGTACCGCGCCGTGCTGAGGACGTTGGCCAGCACCTTGATCACCTTGACGAGGAAGCAATTGAGCCAGACCCACCGAAAATTCATGGCTGCGATGCGCACAAACACCCACCGACTCGTCCACGAATCGATCGTTTCGTCGTTCCATTTGTGCAGCGTGCGCGAGTACAAGTTGCATGCTTTCTCGTCCAGAAGCACGGCGACGACGTACCCCACGACGAACACGTCGCTGTTGAAGCAAAAGTACGAAAAATCGACCGACCGGCATTGATACCGATACTGGGCCGGCGCCGCGATGTACACGAGCTTCTTGTACCACGACGCCAGCGACACACTGTCGGTCCATCGCACGGTCTTGTGGCTCGTGGCAAAGGCCGCCAGCCCAAACAGGACGCACAGCGCGCGCACGTACAACGACCCGACCGACACCGCCGACCGCGTCATCATCATGCCCAGCACGCGGCTGTGCCCTGCGATCGCCACGCTGGAATGCACGACCAACGTGCGGGTCGTCGGACTGAACGACGTTTGCACGGTGCACAAGTCCTGCCCGAGCTCGATGGTCGGGTCGCATCCTGTGCAATACGCTCGCGCGCAGAACCGATACATGGACACGTTTGCAAATGCGACCGACTCGGGCGGGGGCACCTTGACGGGAGTGGTCAGCCGCATGTCGGCGTCGATGCGCGACGGCAAGTACCCGAACGAAACGAGAGCATCGTGGTTGCTTCCGGGAGGAGGAATCGGTCGCGTTCCCTGGAGCAGGTTCGTCATGGCGGTGCCTCGCACGTACTCGATGCCATCTTGCACCACGCCGAGGCTGACGAGCGACGACGACGTGTTGGCCAGCCGGTACGACTGGACCAACATGCCGCAAATGTCGTTGACAGGGCTGTCCACCGTGTACGAGTCGGCCGAGAGCACGTACATGTTTGAATCATGCGCATGGATCGTCTGGAGAGTGTAGTTGATCATGTAGAGCCCGACGCTCGACACCGAGTCGAGCGACGACCCGTCGGCAAACGTGAACGCGTTGGTCAGATCTTGCTGCGACGCCACGTTGAGCACGGGGGTCAGCAGCGTGCGCGCGTTCCCAACAAGATCGTTGAATTCCCAATTGTTGACGATGACGTCGACGAGGACGAGGAAGAGGCACACGGCGGACACAAACATGCGAAGAGCTGGCAGGCCATGGGTACACAAAACGTACCCGGCCGACGAGTTTCGTGCCGTTTGGAGAAGCGATTCCGTTGGCATGGTTGTTGCTGCGTTGTGCGGATGAAATGACGGCGGGACAGTGGTGGCTGGCCATGGCTATTCATAGATGCCAATCCATCCCGCGACATCGAGCCCGGCACGACAAGAATAGATCGACGAGAATGTTATCGTGATGTACGTGAGGGTTTCAACGGGTGACCGTTCAAGTGGTTGCGAGCGACTCTCCCGACGAGTCGCCTGGATATCCCACATTCCAATGGTGCTACATATGCCACTGCTCTCCTCCTCCATGCAGCCTCCTTCCTTTCGCCAACGTTTTCCTCTGCGTGAGCCGTACCACAGGTCTGCTTTGTCTTTTTCTCTACTGGATTGCAAAAGCAATGGCGCGAATGAAACCATGCCGTGCGCAAGGACGTAGTACCAAAAGACCAGACAAAACCGCAATGTCGATGCCGACAGCATTCCAATGCGACCTGGATACAAGACGCCACGTGTCATGCCGGCAGCGAGATGCTGGACCCTCCAAACCTGTCGTTTGCAGGGTAGTACATGGGCATGCAGTAGTCATTGTTTTGGGTGCGCACACGTCTGTGGGAGTCGCGTCATGGCCGGGTCGATTTTGCCTAGCGCAGGCGATTGCATCATCGAATAAGCGGCCCAGGTGCCAATGCGTTGCATCGAATTGCTTGTCGGCGCCGTTCCCTGGCAGCACTTGCGCCTTCGACGCCAAGGTGCGCATGTGTTTCGGCAGGTCAGGCAAGTCGACATGTCATGGCGGAGTGCCGGTTGCCGTCGGGTCTGCCCAAATTTAGCCCATTCCTTGCACTCGAAGCCTGCTCGACGTCAGTGAGAATCGACGTGGTAGCGATAGAGCGCGTTGCTGGCGACACGGCGCACGACCCCTTGTAGTGGACAAAGGACGGTTGACTTGGTTCAAAAACGCCAGGCTTCACGAATGTGGCACATAATTCGTTGGCATGTGCAGCGACGACCCCCATGTCATGACTTGCCGGGCAAGTCCCCGCGGTCGCGAGCGCGCTGTGGTTGCTGGCCCTTGACATCAACCGATAGTTTCCTGAAGTCGATGAGGGCGACAACGGCAGGACCGACCCATCGGGGGCGAGTCGTCTACGTAATAACACCACCGTCGCTTTTGTTCGCCATTGCCCGAGAGCCACGAAAGAGTGGGAAGCTCATCCACACACTCGTCTACAAGCGCCACGACAAACTGTTGCGGCAATGCGGGCGAGGCACCACATGCAACACGGTTGCTCGTGCATTACAACGCTCGAGTTTTGTTTGGCTTACAACTTGCGCCCGACCAACGGAGTCTTGTTCACTTTGCGCTGGTCGGTGGCTCCGCCGTCGAAGAATCCATATCCCGTGTCTTCGATCGACCCCGATCGCTGGCGACCGAGACCAGCATGACATCGAGTTGACTTGGCTAAGTTGGGAAACATGACGTGCTCTTCCTTGGTCAGCAGGTTTTGCATTTGAACCAAGTACGATTCCAACGTGTCGCAGTAGCGCTGCGTCTGGCGGTGCTTGGATGCGACGCAAAACTAAACACACCACGACCGTCAAAACACGGCATCCGCATCGAGGAAAGGTTCACCTGGATGCCGTCGTCCTTGATGATGTAGCCGATGCCAAACCCTTCAGGGACAACCGGGCCAAACCCAAAGAGGCGCAGCGACGGGTTCCCGCAGTTGCTCGTCGAGATGATGCTGCGACCGAGCTTGAGCCATGCGTCATCCCGAAAGAACGCAGGCTCGGGCTCGCCCGGCGACACGATGTGGTGTAGTTGCTGAAGCGCATACAAGTGCCGCTCGACGCCTAAAAGAGAATGCATTGCATCCTCCATGTCCACTTCGTTCCAGACCACATCATCACACCTACCTTGTCCATTCATGCAGCGCTTGACCATGGCCGAGTGCGCTTGCACTGCCGCGCGCAGCGCTGCCGTCTTTTCGAGCAAGTTGGCGCTGGCATCGACAAACAGTTCGAGGAATTTCTTGGTCTCGGCTGTCATCGATCGAATCGCTTCCGTGCGTCTAGCCACCCCACCACCACGAAATTGGACGACAAAATCCATGGCAACAAGCGGACGTCGGGCGACAAGGTATCACATGTACCCGTGGAGGAATCGTTTGGTCATGGCAGGCTCGTACTGGTTGACGATCGTGCCGTATTGGAGGTAGTACGCCGCCAAGAAAGCGATTTGCACGTACGCGTCGGGGGAGCAGTTGTGCTTGGTGATGAACGACTTGCCGTACGTTTTGAACTCCAACACGCGGGTTTCATTTTGAACAATCAAGTCGCTCAGCCGAGCTTCGGCAAAGCTAACGCGACGATGACGTACGGCACGCTTGTCGAGTGTCCGTACCGAATGCCTTGCGTCAACTCCGCGTTGAGGGTCCATTCCAACCGCACGGGCGAAATGGTCAAGTCGGCCGACGGCGGACGGTACGCCCCCGTCAAGAAAGACTGCGTCGTGCCGCTGATGCTCTGCGCAAACCTGCACCACGTGCCTCGTCACCCGACGGAGCAAACCACAAAAAGAATCAAGCGGTACCGAATCACGGTGTCTGTAAACACATCCGACGCAAAACGAAGCACCGTGTGGCCATCCACCACCGAGTGCTCAAAGTTGACGCCAGCGACGCCGTTGTCGCACACGATAATCTGAAGCTTGTCGTACCAACGGTTCATGCACGTCCCGGTCTACAGCGCCGCCATCAAGTTCACGACGGAGAGACGAAACGACAACTGCCATGTGCACGAGCCGGGGCACCAGATCGACGTACTTGATATCCGTGGGCAATCTCGTACGTGCCGTGGAGCGCGGTCGACGCAAAGTCGGACGCCGTGGGGGGCGACGTGTGGTCTAAGCACACCAAGAACAGCGCCTGATCGATCTAGACGACGCCACTGAGCGGCATGGCAAAGGGGAAGATGCACAGACCATGGCCAGGGTGTCGGCGTTGTCTTGTTGGAGAACTTTGCGCAGCTTCGCCCAGATCACGCGGTGTTCGGTTGTCAGCACTCCAACGGCCGACGACGACACAGCCGCAGCAGGGAACGAGTTCGCATCTTCCACGATGCGGCGCAGGTTGTCCATGATTTCACGCTCCGTGATGGCGGCCGTCCCGTCGTCCCACATCACGTCAAACCAGTAGAACTGATTGCTACGCCACACAGTCGAGGGTTGTTCGTCCAAGTCGCGACAGCCGCCGCACGTACCGGCACACGACAACAATATGCTTGGAGTTGGGAGCGACATGCACGCCGTCGTTGGTCTCGGTGGGATATCGCGCTGTGGCAAAGAGCATGCGGAACTGGTTCATACACAGCGGTGTCGTGCGCCATACGTCTGGCTTCATCGTTTCCGTGCGAAGAGCATGAATAAACTAAGGCACGATGAGGCATCGCATCATAGCTCTTCGTACCTTAAGACTGCTGACGATGAGCGACGTCGCGCGGCTGATCTGGTTGGCTCGCGTCGGCGTCGGGTCGTCTTCGAGAACGAAGAACGGATTCACGTTGAGGACGACGGACGCCTTGTAGTTAAAGTACGCTTCATACCAAAAGTCTTCGATGAAGCTGTTCTTGTCCTTGGCGTACTCGATGAGCTTTTCCTGGAGCGCCGCTCCGTCGTGCGCGAGGAACGACTCGATTTTCTCGAGGGTAGCCGCGTGTTGCTCGGGCGTCTGGAGGACACTGACCGATCGCGCATAGTACTTAAGACTGTCGGCAAGCTCTGGGATCGGGAGCTTGGGGAGCGAAGCTTGAGCGTCGAACGTCTTGGCCATCGCGGGCCGAGGGTGAATTGCGATCTCCTCGTTTGGTCGTCGAAAACGGTGGGACATGTTGAATTTAAATTCCTACGAGAAAAATGCTCGTAGTATTTTATTACATATCGAACATACGAGAAAGACGAATATTATATTGACAGGAACATTTCATTCCATGTTGAAGTTGGTCGTGATGGGATCGCCACATCCTCGTGCGCAATCACGCCGTCGTCGGGGCTGGGTAGCGCGGCACGGTGCGACCGAATGGACCTCCCAAGGACTTGCCGGCGCTCAAGGGATCGCACGTGTTGGTTGCGCGCTGTGGATTGGATGGACACAAGCACGACGTCGTTGACATCATGATGTCCATCAAGAACGTCCCTTGACGTTCATGCCACCTCTCGCTCGGTTCGAGTTTCACTGCTCCATCACCGTCGAAATGGTGCGCCAGGTGCAGATGGCATGCACCGCCTTGGATCGTCGGGGTCTGGCTCACAACACTTTGCGAGTCGGCGAATGCATGAACCGTGGACAGCTGCCCCATGCGACGTTTCGTCGCTGCGACTCTGCTGGGAGTCGCAGTGCTGAAGCTCCAACGTCCTCCTGGCGTCTGGCAACCCTTGTGCGTAGGCCACAAACGACAAACGTGCTGCTTTTACGTTTGGGAAATGTGCTGCGAATAAATAGATGGATTCATTCGACTTAAGCAATCGTGAACCCGGTCGGATCCGACATCAGCAGCATCGTCAACGCTTCGACCATCATCTCTTTGGCTGGGTACAGTGGCAAGTCAATTCGATTGTAGCACGCGTGGGTTGCCGGGTACACGCCGCACTCGTACGGCACGCCCTTGAGGGTAAAATGGCAGATTTCCCCGTCGTAGCTGGTCAGCCCTACTCAACACACACGCCATGACGACCACTTGGTCGTGCGACTCTCGTTTACCCTTGAACCCCTGCACCGGCACGCGGGACGATCCAGTCGCAAACTGGAGCAGCTTGGACCGATCTGGCGGCGACATGCCTTCCACAACTTCCCAAAACCACTACACGCAGCGGTTGGAGACGATATCGACCACGTTGTCCTACCTCGAGGGGCTTCGAGTTAACCAAGTTGGACGACGTGACTGTGTTGGCCTTCCAGTCTGAAACATCGACTTGAGACAAGCCGCACAAGATCAGCTCAAACTACGCTCCATGGGACACGTTGCATGGGTGTGAGAGATGGGCGGCATCATCATCACCTCCTTGTGGTCGAACGGCATGACGAGCTCGGGGGGTACAATATCGTACACGCCTTGAATCAACGCCAGCAACTGCGCCTCGATGCGGCCAAACATCAAATACCGCACCATCAAACGCACGTAGTCTGCCTTGTTGGCGTCCGTGACAGGTCGCAAGTGGCCATTTTCGACCAAATCGACTTCGACCACGTCGTCGCCGCGGGTTTCCGTCGCAGAAAACGTAAGCGCCAACTCGTGGGCATTGTCATGTTCGAGCAAGTACACGAGCCTATGAGCCATCCATGACGCACGCGAGACCAATCGAGGCTAGTGCAGCGGAACGACGTACCCCTTGTACACGGTCCGATCGAGGCTTTCGACGTCGTCCAGCGTGAGCGGGACCCCCAAGATAGCTACAACACAACTTGACCAGTTGAAATACGACGCCGCACGTGTCGTACCCTTGAGGAGGACGGGGTTCAAGTGCATGGGAATGACTTGACCATCGAGGAGCGACCGGCCAAGAAATCGCCCGACGGCATGGAACGCCTGCAGGTGGTCCATGCGGTTGGGGTGTGTCCAAGCATGGCTCGAGTTGGGATTGATGAAGTAGGAATTGTCTTCGCGATTGAGCACGACAAAGAGCCCGTTCGACTCGACTAAGAGCCCCTCAGACACCAGCATGTACCTGCACCACACACGTGAGAGAGAGAGCCATGGAATGCGAACGACTGGGTATACCATTCTCGCTGGACGGCGCCGGCATCTTGAGCGGATTCCCCCGCAAACTCGTACCGAACGATGGCACACAAGGCACGCCCGGGGTAGCTCGACAGGTTTTCAACGGCTTCGGCGACAACGGTCCGGCGGTCGACGCGGACTTTGATGTGAAGCTCGTCGTACGGCACGACGAGGTCGTCGATTTGATGGAGGAACCACGAATACTTCATGTAAAACGGCAATTTCGAGATCTCCAACAACGATGTCGCTGTAGCGGACGGAACCATCGTCCCGAGAACGGTGGCGTTGGCCGGGATCGAGTCGAGAGGCTGCCACGTCACTTGGCAGGTCTGGGCTGGCGCATCCTTTTGGTCTTCAGGACTGGGGCATGCGGCAGGCGATGGTGGGGTCGTGTGCGGCGACTCGGCGACAGGGGACAAGCTGCCCAAGGCGGAAGGCATCGGCACGGTGTTCTACAGACAAGTGACGAACGTCACTGGGAAGATTCAGATATTCCGTACGAGCTGAATGACGTGGGCATCGGGGACTTGCGCCGATTCCAGGAACCGCCGCGCCCATCGAACGACGCCATGGATATCCAACTGACGAATCCACTGCTTGCGCATGCTATAAGAATCTGTCGTCAGCTTCACAATATTGACACACCAAAGAAACACCATCGTACCGAGCGCTGCGCTGCTGCGAATTCAAATCCTCTGGCAACACGACGTTCTCGAACGCCATCGAGTACATGCGCGATGCCGTGGCGTGAAAGGACGACGACGCGCGCGTACTCGTCACCTGGATGTAGTTGCTGCTGAACGAACGAGCGAAGGTTGCTGGTTTGGGCTGTGCCACGGCATGGATGTCAATGAATCGAATGTCTACACGCCATTTGATGCAGCACCCGAGATTCAAGGAAATACACGGTCCGGCCGCTTACCACGACGAGTGCCGCAAAGCAAACAGTCAGGTTTCGTGATCGCGTTTTGAAACTCGCACACGGAGCACGACCACAATTCCACGTCGTGTTGGCTATGAAATGGATGGTGGTCAGTCGCCTCGGCGTCACAGCGACCCAGCGCCACGTACAATCCGTCAAGGTCTTGGCGCTTGAGGCCTGGCATGAACGAGAGAAACCTACACCGCATGGGGTTCACACCCACGTGCTGGACATGTGCATGGACACACAAATCGTACTGGCCATTCCGGAGCGGATCCGGTGGTGGCGGCGGGACAAAGCAATACTTATAGTAGGCCCAGTTTGCGAAGGCGAGGAGGGCGATGGCAACGCCCACCGCGATCGCGACGTACTTGAACGAGGACAGATCGATTGCCGCCATCAAGCACTTCCTTCGGGCCGCGCGGTCGGAACGAAAGTGCCAGCGAGGTGCACGGCTCGCTCGCTGCTGGCGCTTGTACAAATCCAACCCTGGCTACTGCCACCTCGCCCGCTGATTGGCTCATGCTCTGCCAGGTTCGTGAGAATGTTTGTCGCGGCACGTTGTCGCAGGAGGAGGTGGACGCCCGCGCGACAAGGGAATCCCGCCGTATGGCCGTCCGTTCGGGGCGTCCCATGGACCCAATTGTGTGCGTTGAGTTGTGGCGGGCCAAGTCGCTTTTTGGATGCCGGGTGCCGCTCGCGGGATTCTCCTGGAACAACCAGTTGCCTATCGACGACGTTCTGGGTTTGGATGCGTCCGTCTTGCAAGTACAACATGCCATCATTCATTCTCTCGCGACCCAACATGCGCCACGAACTATTGGATCGTAACAGAGACACCCCTCCCGCCTTTTTTGTGACTGTTGAACGCAACACAGCGCGTGCCAACGCTCTTCTGGACGAGACAATGTGAGTGTTGAGGTCGCCGAGGTCTCGTCGATCCACCGCGAGCGATCGTCTGTACTTCACCAACGGACAGAATGCTGGTCTTTTGTACTAACAAAGCGGACGGATTGCTCCACGTTTCCGTACGATGAGTCACAGCGCAAACTTGTGCGGGATGGTGGGCATGGCTTGGTCCGACGGGGGCGCTGGGCGACTACTTCATGGAAATGGCGGTCGCTCGTGAACGAACGAATGCTTATGGAACCGCCTCCTACCTGCCTCGATCGAATGCATGCAGGATAACCTTGATGCACATGCAGAAGCGTGCACAAGTCTGGCTTATACGACAACTACCGACAAACTCTCGCCGACAGTCTACACGTTTGCCCGCTAGCACGCGGCACGACTCAGCGAGAGCGTCGGTTCTCTCGGCAGGACGGAGAGAATACTCCACCGCGCCGGAGACGCCATCACGGCTCGATGTGAGTGTGCACCGCAAGATTGGTCGATGAAGCACATCCACACAATGTCGACAAGGCGGTTGTCCACCGCACCGACTCTGGCTCAACGGGGTGCTGGGATATTTGCGCAGCGTCGTCCTCCGTGTTGAGAAGCTGTTTGCGCCATGAAATGGAGGCGAGTTGGAAAAAGTGTCGCATCGATTGGGTCTCGCACATTACTTGCATCCAACTCGTCGAGGAATGGCCGCCACGTTCGCGCTGTTCGCGCTGCAGCACATCCCATCTCACAACGATTGCTGACGAAATGCGTCCCAGCACTCAAAATGCACCTTGCCCGATCCGTCGTTCAGGTCGTAGAAGCGACCGTCGAATTTGGACTCGACTTTCAAAATGGGGTCGTGGCAATGGCGGCACTTGGGGGCGGCGGTGGCTTGGAACGCGTCCCAGCACTCAAAATGCACCTGCACAGCACGGGCTTGAGTGACACACACATCGCACGAGATGTACCTGGTCCTCCGACGCCGCGAGCTGGTAAAACCGCCCGTCAAAGCGTCCGCCCTTGACAATCGGGAGGCCGCAGTGGCGGCATGGTTTGGCTATCGATACCTGATACGCTTCCATGCACTCGGCATGCACCTTCTTCCCGTCGTCCAGCGCAAAGAACTTGCCGTCAAACTTTCCTGCCCAAGCGATCCACAACGAAAGCATCAAGCATCATGTCGACACCCGGCACGCACGACCAACGTGTGCTGGTTGACGCGAGATGGAAACCGCTTACCTTCGATCTTGACGATAGCGTAGTGGCAGTGGGCGCAGCTCTCGGCATGGCGCATGCGGTAGCTGTCCATGCATTCGGCGTGGCACGACGTTCCGTCAGGCAGCGCAAAGAGCCGCCCCGAAAACCGACCGGCGACGACTTCAATGCGCTCATGACATTCGACGCACACAGGCGCATGCGCCGATCGGTACTGGTCGGCGCACGCTCCTTGGCACACATGCTCGGCGACGCCATTCCTGCTCCAACTCGCCATCACACTTGGATCCAATTCTAAACGACGTACGATGACGTGTACGTGCGGTACGATCCTTGGAGCGGGTGGCGGCACACGCAGCAGACGGGAATGTCGTGATCCGACACAAACCCAATGGCGAGCGGCAGCGTCGACACCACGACCAGTTGAAATGTCGTCTCGAACGGGACGTACGTCGCGGGAACGATTGCGATCGTTCCCGCGGAACGCAGCGGGACTTCAACGAGGCAGCTCCTGTTGGAGACAAACGTGCCGGTCGCGATCACGTCCTTGGCGATGTCGAGTTTGCGATGGCCAACGTCGGCGTGCCCGACGACGACGGGCGACACGTAGCATGGATAGTCCGCTTGCATGTTGACCCGGCGGCATGGCTGCTCCAAGTGCACCAAGAGCGCCGTCGATTCTACCGTCGACACACAATGTTCGTCAAAACACTGCCGGCAAGACGACGACAGTGTACCAGCGCACGTGAATTGAAACTGCGGGTTCAAATGGATCGCTTCGCGGCCACCACACGTCAGACCTTTCCACGCGCTCGAGATCACGTGCACAAACAGCGGCACCGTGTCGATCTCGCTTGGGACTGTCGATGGAAACTGGTACACGTTTTTCGACTCGAGCACGGTCGAAAACGACGCCACGACGGTCGGCAGGTCCAGCCACACCTGAAAAACAACGTCGTTCAGAAGAGCGATTCGAATCGAATGCGTCAGCACACCGTGCCGTCGTCGGCCAGTTGGTACCCCGCGCGTTGTTTTTGGTCGAGCGAACACTGTTTCCATTCTGCCCCGCCTCGAGCCCAAGGCACACCACCAGCCATGGACGCCGGATCGGACACGTCGGCCCACACATTTCGCAACTGAACGACGGTGTGCAAACGACCTTGCGCCAGCACTTGCACCAACTTGACGAGACCGTACGTGTGGCCAGATTTGAGCCCTAGCGGCATGGTTGTCGTGTGGTGCCCGGTGTTGATGAACCCGACCAAGTTGCCTCGTTGAAGCGCCTACGCGTCGGTCGTTCGATGCCACGTGACGGTGGTGTCGTCTACCTGGCTTAAGCGAGTGAATGCAGCATTGTCGTCGGTACCACCCAGCTCGGTGGTTCTAGCACGTCGAATGACGATTCTGCGCGATGGGAGCGGGGGTAGCTACGTACGGGAACGACGATGGAAGGCCACCAAACAAGTCTTGCAGGGCAAACACGTCCTGGCCACCGACAATGACGTCGTAGCCGCCGTATAACTTGGCGTATGCTTTTTCCACAATCATCGACCAGATTTCAAACCGAGAAATCGAGCCCGTGAACGACGCAAACACGGGCTTGCCGTTGTGGCCACACGGAATGTAGTCGTCCACCACAACCTACATGCCACCATCGTGAATATGGCCTTCTCGACAATGTCAAAGTCAAGGTGGTCACCAAGTAACTCTTGTGGTTGCGCCAGAATCGAACGCAGTACACTCCTTCGTCGTTGTACTGCTGCTCGAGTTCGTGCGGTGCGGGCCATGCCATGTGCGGCTGCACCAAATCCCCAGTGAGGCCTGCTCCAAGAAATAAAGCGGATGAGTTTCAGCGGACACAGTTGAACAACACACGTGGGAATAGCTGCGACAACGCGGTGGGGGACGTCGACAGCATCGAGATCGCGCCAAAGAGGTAGCCATCCGCAAGCCGGCCAGGTTTACACAGCGCACCACCGCCACTCGACGTCGCTTCCCGGTCAAACAAGCACACTTGCTGCGCTTGAAATTGAATCGGGACAAGCACTTGGACCTTGGAGACAGCGTTTCCAAACCCTGTCCAAGTCGACATCAACTTGTCTTTGCGTCACAGAGCAGCGTACCGTCCAAGCGATAGCCGTAAGGCGTGCCCACTCCAGCAAACACGAGCGGTTTGTGGGCCTCGACGAGGCTCTTTTGCCAGAGGAGGTCGAACTTGGTCACACCGTTGTCAACGTACTCTTGCATGGACTCGATCAGCGCCTTGGTCAAATTCAAAAAGTGGTCGGCGCGCTTTTTGTGCAGCGCAGCGGACACGGTGTCCGTTGCGCGCAGGAGAAACCGTGCGTCGACCGACTGTCCCGATTGCCGGATCGTTTCGATCATAGTTTCGGCTTCCGCTTGCGACTTCATCGCAATGCCACACACGAGCTTCTTGTCGTCATCCAGGATGGACACTTCGACGTAACTACAGCACGACATTATTACCACAAACCGGACGAACCAACGGTCGTACGCATTGTGCGAGAAGAAGTCCGAGATGCGCTTCCACTTCCACACGACCGAGTCGAGGGGCGTCGTTCCTGGAGGGGTTATCGGATGGGCCGGGTCGCGGTACAACGAAGTCAGCGTTGGGGGGAAGCCAGGGTCTATGCGAGGTGGTTGGCAAAACAAGCGAAAATTGCGGATGACCTCATCTCGATGGCTACCTGTAAATTGAGTCTGTGCCTGACGATGCTGGCGCAGGACGTTCGTCCATTCCGTCGAGTCGGGCAACGTTCGCTTGGAGTAGAATGCTTCCTCATGCGACTGAACTTGAATGTTGTCATGAACGGTGCATTGTGGAGTCACCTGACGACAAGTTAGCATCGGGACGATTCGATGTGAGGAAGGGATGTACTTGAGTCGAGTGGAAATGCGAGTTTACTTGCGATGGCCGCGTGCGATTGTGCTCGAACCCCGTGGAAATGGCTTGGCGAATTGGAAGAGTGTCCATGTCCCGGGCAGATACAACGTCTTGGACCGAGATGCCGACGCCGCTTCCGTGCACGTCCACAACTGGTGCGTTGGTTTTGGTTGATCTCACTGCAAGAATCCGTGAGACGTCGAGTGAATCACGGTGAACAAACCGGTAAGTCCAGCAAGTTGAGCAGCGACGAGGGCCGCACCGGGGTAGTTGCCGAGTTTCGGCGTTGTATCTGCAGCTGGGGCAGTTGGAGAAGCTGTAGCTTGCGGAAAATCCCCAGGTTGTGTCGGTGACTGCGACGCAAGAGCGGGCTCCGAAGAAGGTGGTGCACCAAACAAATCCTCGTCGTCGTCAATAAGCGCAGCGGCAGGCGTTGCAGGGGGGAGCGAGCGAGGATGGCCACAGTCGCCACAGAATCGTTCGGTAGCATCCACGTAAGGCGTACCGCATGCAGAGCAATTCGATGGCGAAACAGCAACCGACGGCAATGACTGGTATGCATGGACAGGTGCTGCAGTTTGCACGGGAGGTGGGGCGTTCATGGGGGCACTCGCAAGTGTTGTTGGGTGTTGCCGAAAGGATGATGACGATGTTGCAAAGGGAGCTGGTGAAGGGGTTGTGGTCACGGGAGTAACCACAGGAGGCGAAGGCTCGATCATTTCGCGAGGACTGCCGCATTCGGCGCAGAAGCGCGCCGTGTCGTCGTCAAATCGGCTTCCGCACTCAGCGCAGAAGACCATGATCGGCCAGAATGAAGTTGGATCGGCGATTCACGCAATTGAAAATGAATGGGGGGTGGGGTGAAATCCAACACTTTTCTTATAGGGGGACCCATGGTTTTGTCAAATTGCACCCGATGTGGTGCTGCCGCCACGGCCGGCGCTTCCCGCGAAGAAGCGACGCCGTCATGATTCCATGCAACAGAGTCTGGCCACAGCAATGGCAGCCGACCCACCGCAGGTACCCCATCCCTTCTACAAAGGTCGGTCATTGTTATTGCAGATTGTCGTGAAGGTCCGTCGCTCGTCACGGCTCCCTCGACATGACCTCGTGCGCGTCAAAAGGTCGTTCGTGTCATGCAGAGCAATGAACCAGCGTCGTTGGAGGATGCAACATCGAGACGAAAGCAGGGACAGATCCAGCAAACCGAGATGCGTGAGCGCCTATCTTGTCGATTTTTGTCCTACGAGGATGCATCCGAGCCAACCGAGGGCACGACATGAAGCGCCACGTTATTACACAGCCAAGGCTTAGTCAACTACAAAGGCTCACGTGACACCAGGACGTAGCGGCAAGGAGGAGAGCACCCCATCACGCGAGGTGTACAAACCCAGACACCAGCTCAAGGCATGCATCATGCAGCGACCAAGCTCAATCGACACGTGCCTCGGGCGAGGAGCGGTAGCTATGTTTATGTCGTGCGTCGTCGGCGCCCTTGTTGCCAGTAGAATCTGCAAAGGATAGCAGAATATGGATTTTGACACGTCACGTCTAAGTCGCGTACGCGTGAGAGTGGACAGCTGGAGTTGTGAGTATGCTCATTTAATTCCATTTTATTAAAGCACTGCCAAAGTTAATGGTTGCATGCAATTTTCAAGAACAAAATGCCTACAAATTGTGACTGTATTCACGCACTATCCAGGAATGTGCGCGGCATTTCCGGATAATTCATGCAATATCCGAATCCCGATGCAATCGGATGGGCCAAACCATTGCATCCGTGCCCACTTTGCAAGATGCAAGAAATTCCGTGCAAAGATTATGTCATTCAAGTCGGCCATGGGCTGTTGGCGTCGGTCCCGGCGCAGTTGTTGGAGCTGCTGCCCAAAGTTACCAGCTTCATTGTCATTAGCGATTCGAATGTCGCGCCGCTGTATGCGCAGACGCTTCTTCAACGCTTCCAGCGGCGGGTCGAATTATACGTTGTCCCTGCCGGTGAAGCGAGCAAGAACCGTCGAATGAAAGATGCAATCGAAGACTTTATGCTGGAGAAGCGCATGCATCGCGACTGCTGCGTCGTTGCGTTGGGTGGGGGTGTTGTTGGCGACCTTGCCGGGTTTGTCGCGTCCACGTACATGCGAGGTTGGATATACTTTAACCGCGACTCCCTCCTCGATGCAGGCATCGCATCATGGAAGTGTGCATGTAGGTGTTCCATTTGTTCAAATTCCAACGTCCTTGCTTGCATGTGTGGACTCTTCCATCGGCGGCAAGACTGGGATCGATGTCGCAGCGGGGAAGAACCTCATCGGAGCCTTCCATCAGCCGAAACGCGTCTTTGCCGACTTGGATGTGCTCTCGACGCTGCCAAAGCGCGAGCTTATCAACGGTATGTAGTCACTTTCTTCTAGCACTCGACTAACACCCACGAGCAGGCATGGCGGAGATCATCAAGGCCGGCGCGATCTACAGCGAATCGCTCTTTTCCAAGCTCGAATCCAATGTCGACGCGATTCTCGCACTCAAGAAAGATGTTGTACTCGACATGATGGCAACGTCCGTTTCGATCAAGGCGACGATCGTCGAACAAGACGAAAAGGAACATGTGCGACGCCCATCAACTCCACACAAACTGCTTCACTCATTACGTCTGCAGGGCCTTCGCGCCATTCTGAACTTTGGCCACAGCGTCGGACACGGCATTGAAGCCATTATGCAGCCGGAATTGTTGCACGGAGAATGCGTCGCCATCGGCATGGTCAAGGAGGCCGAGATCGCTCGGGGTACATCACTGCAGTGTCCCTGCAAATACACCCAACGGGGCTCCACTAGGTCTTGGTCTGTGCTCATCCGCCACCGTCGGCCGCCTCGTGCGGTGCATCAAGGCATTTGGCTTGCCTGTTCGAGTCCCTGCTCGGTAAGGTTGTCACAAGCCGGTGCCAGACGATCCTGATGAAGTGAACCATCGCAGGGCATTGACCGCGACCGTGTTGGAGAAGATGGAAGTCGACAAAAAGAATTCGGGAGGAATCAAAAAGCTCATTCTCCTCACGTCGATCGGCACCGTCCATTCGAATCCATTCACGGTGGCCGTCGAGGACGCGCGCATTGCACATGTGCTGGAGCCGCAGGTAGTGTGCTGATCCGTCGTTTGCGAAATACTCAGCATGGCGCGGCTTTAGGTGCTGGTCGTGCCACCGAGTGACCCCATCTCTGGAACAGTCCAAGTCCCTGGCTCAAAGTCGATTTCCAATCGAGTGTTGCTCATGGCAGCGTTGGGCTCTGGGTACCCTCCACTCTACGATCTATCGAGCCACGCCATCTCACGTCGACCTGTTTGTAGCACTTGCCGCATTTCAGGACTGCTGCACTCGGACGACACTCAAGTCATGATGGACGTGCTGCAGTACTTGGGGGCGCACGTGTCGTGGGAAAACGACGGAGATGTGTTGGTGGTTGTCGGCACCGCGGGAAAATTTCCGCCTTCGTTGCCCGGTCATTGGTACCTGAGCAACGCCGGGACCGCTACTCGCTTCTTGACGACTGTCGCTACACTTGCTGGGACGCCCGTCCATATCACGGGCAACTCGCGCATGCAAGAACGTCCGATTTCGGACCTCGTCGATGCTTTGGTGGCAAACGGGTGCTCCATTCAATATGCCAAGGCCCACGGCTGCCCCCCGCTGGACATTTCCCCCACGGGGCTGCCTGGTGGAGTCATGCACATGGCCGGCAAGGTAAGCCCCATCTCGCCCGTGCATCGTTCTCATGGCCAGAATTGGCACAGGTCAGCAGCCAGTACGTGTCGTCCGTGCTGCTGAGCGCGCCGTATGCAAACGCGCCACTGGACCTTCGCTTGGCCGAAGACCACCCGACGTCGTTCCCGTACATTCAAATGACGACTCAGTTGATGTCCGTGTTTGGCATCCAAGTGCAAACGCTCGGTACGATATTCGTCCAGGTGCTTTGTGTGACGTGCCCCTTGCATTTGCCAGGAACGAACAACCGCTTTGTGGTTCCGCAAGGCATCTACAACAATCCTCCTCGCATTCACGTCGAAGTGGACGCCAGTTCTGCGACGTACCCGCTGGCCTTTGCTGCCATTTCCGGTGGCCGCGTGGTCGTGCCAGGCTTGGGCCGGACGTCGTGCCAAGGAGACGCTGCCTTCTTCACGGTAGCACGTTGGGATATATTTCGCAGACAACGTTGGTATCCCTTAAATTGTGTGGCGGCAGGCGCTTCAAGCGATGGGATGCACCAGTGGTCAAGACGAATCGTCGACGTGGGTCCAAGGTATCGCGCCTGGTTGTGGAATTGTCATGCTGAAAGGATGATGGCTCAGGTCCACCTCACGGATCGTTGAACGCGATTGAGATTGACATGGAAACGATGACGGATGCGTTCATGACCCTGGCGGTGCTCGCAGCCGTCGCGACCGGCGTCACCAAAATCACGGGCATTGCAAACCAGCGCGTCAAAGAGTGCAATCGAATTGCAGTCATGGTGCGCGACACATGAACCCCGACTTCGTTGTGGCAATTTTCGTGGCGAACAGCGAATGAACTAAGCCTCGTTGTCATCCAGGTCGAAGAGCTGGCCAAGTGCGGGGTCCAGTCGGGTGAACTGCCCGATGGTCTATGGATCCAAGGTCGCGGCGGCCTCGCTCCCCCGACGTTTCCCAGTACGAGAACGCTTGTCCATGGCATCACCTGACTATCGTTCACGATGTAGAAATTCCCGCCAAAATTGCGTGCCACAACGACCACCGCATCGCCATGTCGTTTGCGGTCCTGGGGTCCTACTGGCCCAACATTGTGATCGCTGACAAGGAGTGTACAGACAAGACGTTCCCGTCCTTCTGGGACGAATGCCATGCTGCGTTGAAGATTCCGTTTGAAGTGCCGTCGGCATCGCTTGCGACGACGGGTGCGGTCGACAAGTCCACCGTCTACCTCATTGGAATGCGGGGCGTCGGCAAGACATCTCTCGGTCGACATGGCGCAATGGCCCTTGGTTTGACGTGGATCGATATGGACGAGTACATGGAAACGCATCAACTCGGTTCGTGCGCCACCTGTCGCATCTTGTTGACTTGATGCACGCGCGCAGGCATGTCGGTGAAGGAATACGTGGCTGCAAATGGCTGGGCAGCATTTCGCGCCCAAGAAGTGGTGTGCTTGCAATCATGGGTGCAAACTCCGCCGATCAACACGATTGTGTCGTGTGGTGGCGGCGTCGTCGAGAGTCCCGAAGCGGTCGCGCTGTTGTCCCAATCGTCCAACGTGATTTATCTGCAAAGAACATTGACCGATATCGAGGCGACGCTTGCCCAGGACGAGTCGCGACCCGCCTACGGCGAAGATATAGCGACCGTCTTCCACCGCCGCGTGCCGCTTTTCACCGCATCCAGCTCGTTTGTGTTTCCAGTGCTGCCCGGGGACGTGAACTATACGCGCATCAACCGTGACTTTGTCCGGCTGTTGATGGTTGTGCTGGGCCGATACAACCTCGCTCCGCTCAAGACCCAGCCAGACACGTACTTTGTGTCGCTGACATTTCCAAACTACACGACCGTCCCGCCCGACCTCGTGGCGACGGTAGCTGACAAGGCGCACGCCCTCGAACTTCGTGTGGACTTACTCGAAAGCTTCGACAAGGACTTCATTGCGAATCAAGTACGTGGGATGCCTCCTCGACGCGCAGGACCTGTCCTGCCAAGAACGAAGACTGGAATATCGTCACCGTGAGTCGGTCGTAGGTGGCGGCATTGCGTGCAGCGTCCACTTTGCCCATCATCTACACCGTGCGTACGATCGGCCAGGGCGGAGCCTTCCCAGACGACCCGACGCGCGTGTTTGACTTGCTGCACTTTGGTATGTCCATTGTCGAGTCACGGTGGTAGGCATTGTTCAACTCTTTTGTGTTTAGGCATTGCGCTGGGCTGCGAAGTGATTGACATGGAGTGCTGCTGGCCCGCGGACGAGCAATGGCGCCTTATCGAGTCCAAGGTACCGAGTGTTTGGATGGTTGGCACCACTCGGAATGCATCTGTGGACTCGATAGCGCGGATCTGCAATTTTGGCGTCGTATCACGCGATCCGCGAGCGAACTACCCCCGAGCGCACTCAAGGTTTGTGCCGGAAGCGACCATTCCAAAGTCGGAGGCATGGCCATGATGCCCTTGTTTGTAGAACTGTTTGAGCTGTGTGCGTGGCAGGGCAACGTCGACATGGCCAAAGTCGTGATCCAGGCGTATGACGTGTCGGATGCCTACATGATTCACCAAGTCGTCGAGTCATGCCGCTCCAGGTTTGATCGAGCAAGGCATGGATGGCATCCTCGTGATGGGATTGTTGGATGTAGATGGGGGTTTCCAATGCCATGCATTGCCCTGTGCACGACGGAGGCCGGCAAGCTCAGCCGTGTGCTGAACCGTACGCTGACACCGGTGACCCACCCTGCGCTCCCCGTCGCCGCCGCACCGGTACGCTTCCACGCGATTCGCTGTGGAGCTAACAAAATGTTTGCAGGGCCAGCTCTCCATCCAAGAGATTGAATCCCTTCGGCGCAGTTTGGGCATGGTCCAAGGTAGTGTGCGTCACTCCCTAGCACTTCTTTGCAATTTGCAGTCTGTCCGAATCGTCCTTTGTAGGCAAGCAGTTTTACTTGTTCGGGAGCCCCATCCAGCACTCGCCGTCTCCGCGAATGCACAACGCAGCGTTCCGAGCGCTGCACCTTCCGCACGTGTACTCGCTGCATGACGCTACAGGTCCCCAACTCAAAATCCGTTGGTGGGCATGTCATCCGTTGAAGTAGACATTGCGACGTTTGAGGCACTGCTGCACTCGCCAGAGTTTGGCGGAGCTTCTGTTACGATTCCCCTCAAAGTCGACATTATCCCATACTTGTCGAGACTGTCGCCAGCAGCCACCGCCATTGGCGCCGTCAACACGATCATTCCAGTGTACGCCGGCATGATGTGGGTCGTGCTTGGAAAGGACGGGAATGCCGCGTAGGGACGGCGCCCTTGTGGGGGACAACACGGACTGGATGGGCATTTTTCGACCCATCTCGGCCCGATTGAGTGTTTCGGCCACCGACTCGAGTCGGTACGTAACGATGCCGTGTGCGGGTGTCGATGGCATGCTTGTCTTTGGCGCATGGATCTTCATTCGTTGTCGCGCGTCGTTGTAGACGATCCAAGGTTGCGCTCGTTGTCGGCGCGGGCGGCACGGCGATGGCTGCATGCTATGCCATGCAACAGCTCGGTCTCCAAGTGCTCGTGTACAACCGAACGCTGGAGAAAGCGAAGGAGGTTGGTTCCATCTCTTGGCATGCGACCCTCACGAATTGTCTGACGCCATGCGCAGGTCGCGGCGCGATTTGGCGCGACGGCGGTCGCTTCTCTTGCTGACGTCGCCGCGGTCGACGTTGTCGTCGGTACCATCCCGGCAACGTCTGGCTTTACGCTCCCCGACCGTTTGGTGCGCCAAGGGGTGATTGTGATGGATGCAGCGTACAAGCCAGCTATCACGCCGCTTTTGGCTCACGCCCATGCCCACGCGGCTGTGTGCATCCAGGGCTACGAGATGCTGGTGGAGCAAGGGCTCGAGCAGTCCAAGCTGTGGACGGGAGAGACCGTCCAAAAGTCCATCCTGGCCGACCAAGTCAAGGCGACTTTGGCAGCAACCGATTTCCTCCACTAGACGAGATGTTGTTCCTGGCGCATTCCTCAATGAATACATCAGTCGTAGGAATCGTAAGTTAAAGGAATTCATTGCACCGTCGACCCCGCTTGGCGCTGCGAGGAGAGATGTGCATAGTGTCTTCTTTGCACCGATCTTCGTCTAGAATCTCGAGAATTCGCTTCACGCGGACGAGTGCCTTGTCGTCGTCCGTTGACGCGATGCCTGGTGACAACGCCTTCAACATGGTTGCGGTGGGGTGCATGGCAGCGTCGCTGTGGCGCTGCTGGTTCTGGTCGCTGCCGTTCGGAGCGGCAGAACTGGCATCAATGCAACCACATGGACGGTTGTTGCCACGCCGAGTCGGAACTGGCAATTCGTCTTGCCGACGGAGGACGCGTTCCCTCAGCGTTCGCATCGGTGGTGATGGCTCCTGTGGCATGAGCTCCCCTTGGCGTCGAGGACTAATGCTCGCGGGTTTGTCGGCAGTATGATTGCTTGGAGTTCGAGGCTTGCTGCGCGATGGCGTGTTGTGGCGTTGGGACGACGGACTTGTGTAAACCGGCAATGGCCTCGCTATCGGGAGAAGGCTCATGTTCATCTGGACAAAGCTCCACGCGTGTCGATTGTGGAGTGGCGGCGCGTCGAGCTGCGTCGTGACCACTGGAGACGGAACGCCGCGGGCCTTGTCTCCCATCGACCGCGTCGTTGAAATAACGCCACCGCCGCCGCCGGGTGGACGTTTTGGATTCGGCCAATTGTAGATCTCTAAATTTGGATTGGCTAAAATGGTGACGTTTCGACAGCACCTGCGATCTTTCCGACTGGGCGCGACGATTCACCGCGGAATCTCCGTCGCGCCTTGCGACGGCGGTGCCGCGGACTCCGTCGCGGTGGTTATTGCCCTTCGTCGAGTACACTTGGCTCCAAAGCGATCGAAGCGCCCGCCTGCGTGAAATGTACCTCGCTGAGCAGTCGTGGACAGTGCATGGTCCATCACCATGTCGCTCATCCATGAAAACTTGGAGACGAGACCAAGTTGGGTGTACTGTGAAGTATGATGCACGTGAATTCGTTCTAGTTGTGACTCCAATGCACCTTTGTGCTCAACGTTCGCGAGTCGGACAAGTTCGACTGCATGCAGCCGTCGGTCAAGGCACCGTTGCCAATTTTTTGGCAAGCAGGATGTGGGACAAGCCAGCGCGATGCATCCGTTGGTGTGTGAAGCCTCTTGTTCGTCACGTAGACAACGTCCATCTTGCGCACAGACTTCGTCTTCGAATGGTTGCGCCGTGGCCCATCTCGAGGTTGTGCGTACGACCGACTGAATGGCTTATACCACGGTGCGATGGACCAGAACATGACAACCATGTCATGCCATCGACTTGAACCTGTCGGCTGTACATGTCATGGGAACCGATGAAGTGCGCAAACATCCGTGCGACGATGCGTTGTGGACGAGCAAGCGTCACAAGCGGCGCCCAAACGACGTACGCACGTGGCATCAACTCATAGGGAACGACAAGTGGCAAGAGGTCATACCAGCTTAGTACACACGAACGTAGCTCATTTTGCTGAATGGTCTGTCATTTGTGTACGCTTGACCTGGCAGGTCTGCCTAGAACGGCTCTACTCCGAACGACGCGGCATTGGAATGCCAGGTCGGCATACTTCCTGCGCGCATACCTGCTGATGGTACACGTGCGATGTGCAACATGCGCCGTGGCCAGAATCGTCATGGTGACCTTGGAACATACTGTCCAAAGCATCGCCGATATTATAGTGAGCTCCCATTTGTTTCCGACAAGTCGCGGCGGGACAGATCCAATTTGCAGACATCAACATGGAAATCGCCCTTAGAATCGACAGTGAAACGGATGCATGGGCTGAAAATAGCGACGGCATTCTCTCGACACGACGTGTCGAGGACGATGGCCGAGCTAACGAATGCCCAGAGACAGCTCGTGGCCAACGCTCGTGCGAGAAAAGAAGGCAAGGCGCTGTCTGAAAAACTTAAAGAACAAGCTGAAGCGGAGAGACACGACCACTTGGCCAGCAAGAAACGACTGGCACAGCAGCGCCAAAAGCCTCCCCTTGACAACAAATTGGCGATTCGGTTTGTCAAGCAAGACTTAGCACAGTTTGCACTCCACAAGGACTGGAAGAAGAAGCGCCATCGAAAGGACAAGACCCGGGCGAGTACCGTGCCCGATGCGACCTCAGGTGGGACGTCGAACCAACCCGACAGGTCCACAAATCCAATTCCATCCATCGCAGCGCACTCATGGTAGCTACAACAGGGATGCGCTGGATTGGGACGATGACAGCGCACACCGTCGCCCCCCGCGCTACCGCCCCCCGAACGCCTGGGCCAAAGTAATTCCGCCATGCATGCGTCGTCGTGTGACGATCTTGGTAGCTGTACGAGGTTGATGCCCAAGAAGTCGAACGGGAAAAACAGGACAAACGCAACGCTGCCATCAACGCCATGCACGAAAATCGCATGCATCTCATGCATCAAGAGGCGGAGAAGCAGCGCCGTCGGCAGATCGAGGCCGAGCACAGCGCCAAGTACTTTGAGCAACAGGAGCAGGAACTCGCCAAGTACAAGGTGCACAGCGCTCACCGTTGCTGTCTCGACGTGGAGTTTACGATTGGGATGGCGTGCCTGTACAGGAACAAGTCAAGCAAATGCAAATCGCCAAAGAAGAAAAGCAAAAGCAAACGAATGCCGAGTTCACGCGTATGGTGGCGGAGACCCAGCAAAAGCGCGAGCGCCAGAAGAAAGCCAAGATGCATGCCGAGCTGCGCGAAGTCGACAATGCCAAAGTATTGTCGGCTTTTATCGGAAGGCAGTTGACGGTTGGGTCCGTTGTAGGCATCGCTCGAAGCAGAGCGCCTGCGGCTGGAAGAAGTCAAGCGAGTGAAAGCCATTCAAGTCGAGCAAGTCAAGATTGAGAACCAAAAGCTTCAAGACGGTTCAATACCCCCCCCTCGTACGCTCGTCACTGACGTACGATGCGATTGTAGCCAAGCGGGCGGAGAAGTTGCGCATGCAGGAGCACGAAAACGCCATGACACAGGTGCGATGAATCCACGCAGCCAGCCAGCCCAGTCGCTCTCTCGAGCAAAAGTTGCATCCTGTGATGCTGGAGATGCTGCAACCTCGACATGCATGGAGATCAACTGACTGCGCTGACAGGAATATCAAAAGCGGTTGGCAGCGCAAGAACAGGCGCGAAAAGACGAACTCCAAAAGACGTACGAGCGACAGGAGAAACGAGTCACGATGGCATTACTGAACGTGGTGTCGCCGGAAGAAAAGGCGAGGCTGGACGAAATCCGGGCGGCGGCTATCCAGGCTGCCGAGCGGAACAAGGATGAAGCGAGGCTAGAAGAGAAGCGCCGTAAGCAGCGTGAGTTGGACATCCTACAAGGCGCGGAGCTGCGCAAACAGCAAGAAGACAAGCGAAAACGACTGGAGGCCGAGCGTCAAGCCGCGGCGCACATCGACGCAATCGGCGCGCAAGATGCGCTCGCCGCTGAGATGGCCGCGCGGGCCAAGCAAGCCAAGAAGGACGCCATGGATCGTGAATATCGAGCGGTACGAATTTACGCGCCAGGGTACGACACTAATGCGATCGTCACCGCGTTTGGCTTGTAGAAACTGGCGCAGCAAATGGCAGCAGAGCACCATCGCAAAGTCACCGCGGACAAGTGGAGTATGAGCCAGATAGAAAGGCAACTAAATGCGGCGACGTTGCGAAAGGCAGGTGTAACTCCATAAGGCGTCGTTATCTTGTCGGTTTCGTGGCGCATGCATCGGTTACATGTCTGGATCGCGCTGACCCCCAGACAGTCGGCGCTCGGCAGGATGACCAAGGTAGGAAGAAGGGCTCGAGCAGGCGAAAGCATTTTCATGATGGTCGTAGGACCCGGGGGCGCTGCGCAGACCGACGTTCACCGTGCGCGACGGGTACCATCTCGACCAAGTCAACCACACCATGTGCAGCGACGTTGAGCGGCGGTACTTCCCAGAGCTCATTCCGCCATCGTCGGCGCGAGAGGACGTCGCGTCCCGCCCAAGTCCCCGACCTGCTGCATTGGAACTTCCTCCATCGCCACCTCGCAGGCGGTCTTCGGTGCTAGACTGCCCGCAAACGCTGCCTCCAAACACGTCAATGCATCGGCGCGAGTCGCTCAAGGAATGTTCACCGATTGCGTCGTGGCTGATATTTCGCCACGACATGGAAGTCTGTACATGCTGCAAGTCGTGACACATTCATTCGAAACGTGTGGATGTTATTAGAGCGCAAGGACGAAAGCAGGTAAACTGCCGCCATTCTTGTCAACTCCGACAAGCCCCCCGACGTCCGGACCCCTTTCCCAGCGGTATGCTCAACCCCTTGGCCATGTGCGTCACCGCCACATCAAACCATCGTCCAAGACGTCCCTCTTGCCCAACTTGCCGATCCCGAGTCGTCGCCCGAGGCAAGCACCATGCCATTCAGATTCACCCCTGACAAGTGGATATTTCAGTGGGGCCGCACGCCGACCCACTCGGCGCACGCGGTATGACACCGAGAATAGCATGATTCGAAAGCGCACGGTGATCGCGGTGGCCGACCCCCACTCGTTGTCACTGGGCGCGCGCATTTTGCACTTTAAGATCGCCCCGCACGAACTGCAGGCGGTCGTGAAGCGGGAGGAAGGTCGAAAGCGGCAACATATTGCTGACCATGGAACAAACCTCGTGGCTCGAAACAAACTCCTCGTCGTGACCAAGCCATCCAACCAAGAGGTACATGTGGTCGTGTGCGGTCCAAGTTGATATCCCTTCGGCAGGAGCGATTTGACCTCGAGCGGCAGCGCCAGGAAGCGTCCAAGGCTCGGGCGGCTGCCCACCACCAACTCATGGCCAGTGTGCTGGCGTCGGGGGTAGATCGATGGGGCGCGCGCAAGAAGCAAGCCGAGCTGGTACGAGCACGACACCATTGGGCTCGCAAGGCGCTGGTGGTGGTTGCGCTCGGGAAAGCTGCGCATGCATTCCATGCTCTCTATCGCGTACGCCATGATTCGGGTGCGCGCCTTGTCAACTATATCACGTTGCAGGCATCGGAGACGCGAATTCGGGCCAACCAACAGCACCGCGCGACGAAGCGCATCCAGCACTTTTGGCGGCGCAAGTCGCAAGCCATCTGCCTCAGCCACGTCACGCACGCCCTCTTGGTGATTCAAAAGTACATCATGAAGTGGGTTCGGCAATATCGGTTCCGCCGGCGTCGAGCCGCCGTCCACGTCATTATCACGTCGATCGAAGAACTGCAAGAGGCCAAGTTCCGGCGGGTACGACTCAAACGGCTCACGCGAACCCGCGGCAGTGACCTAACGCGTCGTTTTTGGCGCAGTGCATCCTCAAGTATCGCCATTGCATTCACGTTTTCCAAAGCATGTGGCGCGGGTGGATGACCATCACGGATGCCCGCATCAAGTTGCTGCTCTTGCTGTGGGCAAAGCTCGAGAAGAAAGCACTTGACAAAGGTACGACAGCTCTCGTCCGGTGTTTGTTGGTCGGGTTATCGATCCTGGGACGGTAGCGGCGGCGGCGGCGGCGGACGAAGCGTTGAAGTTGCCGCTGGTACGTAGACGAACGGATGTTGTCTCGCGCGCCTTGGAAGGGCTTCAAACACAGCGTAGGACGGAGTGGTGCCGTCGCGTCCCCTCACCAAACGGCGCAGTGGGTTCCGGTCCACACCGACGTCGACGTTGCGGGGTAAGGCAATGGACTCGAGTGCGATCGGTGAGGCCAATTCATGTAGCAACCTCGTCATCGACATCTCTGGGCACCACGGTCAAGCTTCTGGAACACTTGAATTCGTTCAAGTCGAGATCGCACACGGGGGAGGCATCTCGGCGACGTAGTCGCGGCACTGGCGGATCCAAAGTCCCCATGAGGTAGTTGGTTGCGTCCATCCAAGTCGAGACGTTCTCATGGCAGCACACAAGTATCAAAATGAACTTGCTCAAAGACTTGCTCCGGACGAAGCGCCAGGCGTTCCTGGCCCAGCGGCTCGAGCAAAAGTGCGGCCCTCATGACGTCGTCGATCGTCCTGATTTGCGCTGTGACTGTAGAGAATTGTGCGAGAGCCAGCTCGAACTGCGCCGACAACGCGGCGTTGGCATGGACGCCAGCACGGTGTTAGCGCTCGACAACTTGCGCTTTGAAAAGTCGCAATTTCTCATGCTACGGTGCATCTCCGAAGCAGACATGCTCGGTACCCCACCCACTCGCCATGGCATCGATCACCTCATCCACTTCTCTGTGGGGTGCAGGGCTCATGGGAGAAGCCGAGAGCCAGGCAACGCAACGCGTGAGCATTGGCCTCGACGGCACCCAACCTGCCGTCCTTGACACGGTTTGACATCGTGATGAAGCATTGTGGCACTCGCTGCCGTCGCCAGGAGAATTCCATCGTCTCGAGTTTGTTGGATTACGCGAATGGTTTTACATTGATAGCGTCAGTCCCTGCAACGAGATATTCGCCCCGTGCTACTCATCATCGCCACAATTTTGTCCCATCACCGCCTGGACAATTCTAGCCGCTAAACAAAAAGCGGAGATCTTCGATGGTGAGCCGAGCCAACGCCGCAGTGCTCGATCCGACAGTCCCTTCGAACACGAGCTGCTTCTTTTCCTACACGAATCGAAATCCGTTCTCCACGTCGTGCACGCTTCATAAACTACATACCTGGAGCTTCAAAATGCGCTCTTCGATCGTATTTGCAATCACAAATCGCGTCGCCCGGATCGGTTTGAATTGTCCGAGCCGATGTGTTCGGTCGATCGCTTGGTGTTCGGCTGCTGGATTCCACCACGGGTCCATCAAGAAGATGCTACAAGCGCATCGTTCCGTCAACTGCCCTGCGCATGTGTCGAGCACGTACTGCGACGCCACCGTTAGATTCAACGCGACCCCGCCCGCCTTGAGCGAAATGAGAAACACAGTCAATGCCGGGTCCTCCCGGAACTCGGTGAGCAGGCGGTCGCGGTGGGCCATCGGCATCCCACCCGACAGCTTGGCACACTTCATACCAGCCAGATGCAATCGATGTTCGATCAAATCCAGCATGTTGACAAACTGGGAAAACACAATCGCCTTGGCTGACGGATCGTCTTCCCGCATGAGATGGAGCTCTTCCATCAGCGCCTCGATCTTGGTGCTGACGACGGCGCAGTCACAATTCCCATTCATCACTCGCTCTTGTACCTGCTTTGAAAGTCGCCAAGGTTGGGTAGACGGCGCAGCAAGCTCGACTTGCCGATATGCCTCGCTCTCGATTCCTTGACCGGCACTTGTTCGTGGTCTTCCGGCATGTCCCCCGGCGCTCCAGTTGAGATGTCGACGGTCAACGGGTCATCGCAAGTCGGACACAGTGCCGGAGCCCCTACAACCCACCACCGTGACTCGAGCTGGTAGTGCGAGCTTCGTCGTACCCATGGGCAACGACTCGACGTAGTCTTCGACACAGGCTTTGCAAAATACATGCCGGCAGGCAGACTCGACCTCCTGCTCGACAGGCTCGTGGCAAAACCCACAAGGCACGTCGTCTTCCTTGTCGTTGTCGTTCGTAGTCCCCGGTGCAACCAGCGGCATGTCCTCTCGGGCAGGGACGTCGGGGGTAGGGACTTGGAGCGCGGGGTTCACTTTTGAATAAATTACCTGGTACATAACGCATTAGCAGTGTTTCAGATTCCCGAAAGCGGACCAAGTAGGGATGGTCCACCGCTTGCCGAAGGCGAATCAAGAGGTCAAAAATGTGGGCGTAATTGTTCAGCAGTGTCCCGGCTGACACGTACGTGTTGAACTGGGCTTTGCTTTGAGTGTAGATACTCTAGGACGTTGCCAGTCAGGTCCAAAGGTACGATCTTGCCAATGGACAACGGGAAATGACCTCGTAAAAGTCCTTTTCCCGCTCGTCGAGGGCATCGCGCCGCACGCGGACCAACTTGGGCGGCAAGCTGATGTCGTCTGCGCGGCTTTCCTTGGTCCGTCGCAGCAGGACCTATAATACAGGCACAGTTGAATGGCGCGCGCCGCACACGTTGTTTGTACGAACGTGGCGAAGGAGGTCGTTTTGGAGCCGTAGCATCGCGAGTTTGCCTTCAGCGACGTATCCAAACCCTTGGATGGGTATCACGATCTTTTTGTTAAAAAACGAGTAGTGCTGCATCGCTGTGTGATTGCAATACTTGCAGTGGCCTTGCATGATGCTGAAGTCCAATTGCTTGCAGTCGCATTCGGCGCATTCGTAGTATGCTTGCGGGTCGACCTGGAGAAACCGAACGAGCGAAAAGAGCTCGCCAATGCGATTTTGCAGCGGCGTGCCTAGCCAAGGAGCGATCACGACGCTCCTCGCAACGCCCAGCCAAACACACCTGACAGACACCACTTGTACAACGACTTCAACCGAAACACCGACCGCGCTGTGCTGCACTTTTTATCCTGCAACCACGACGGGAGACCTGATGAGCCGTGAGTTCCAGGATTCAAGCGCACCTTGATGTAATGCGCTTCGTCCAGGATGATCCGAGTCCATTCGACCTAATTTTCACTCGTCATCACTTGCATGTTCATGCTACAAACGATGGCCACCTCATGAAGGGGCGATCGAGCTTGCTTGACTGTCTTCTTAGGCTTTTTTGGCGGGGGCACCGATCGCTTGATGGGGGCAATGTCTTCATCGGAGCTGTTCTCACTGTTGTCCGAGTCATTGAGTTTCTTGACCTTCTTGGTCACTGCCGTTTTGCTTTTCCCCTACAGAACGTCATGTTCGGCATGCCGTGCGTCGATGTTGCAATTGTAAGCATCACACCTTTTGCTGCTTCATTTGTTTGGCAGTTTTCATCGAGTCCGGACCACAAAAGTACTTGTTATGGGGAACGAGCTTCTCGGGCACGAACAATTTGCCGCAATACGCGCACGCCACCTTTTCCGCTTCCATCAACTTGCGGCCTACACAGCGGCCGCGTCGGCACATTGCAAGCAACATCGCGTGCCACCAAGGCGAAGAATGAATACAAATGAATCCCACCCACCTTCGCTCTCCAGGATCGAGTACGTAGTCAGCACGACGTCGTAGGATGCCAAGTGCGTCGTCAAGTTGGAGCGCTTCGGCCCATGGTACACTAAGATGGTCAAGTGGTTGGCTTCGACAAACCGCTCAATTTCGCTTTTCCACTACAATGCGGGTCGTCATTTTGAAGAGCACAACGCGAGAGGCAGTCGCAGCACCTGCATGCACGCAATGACCGGACATATGATCAACGTGCCCCCGGCCACAGCGTTGCGGTCCGCTCTGTTGATTTCTTTGACGTTTTCCAACATCGTGGCAATTGCTTGAATTGTTTTGCCCATCCCCATTTCGTCGGCCAATATGCCACCGCGATACTTGCTCGCTTCTTGGGCTTTCATCCTGTAGGTACCAACTCATGAGTCGTGCTATCGCAATTGACGAAGCAGGTCGAACGAACCACGCGAGCCCTTCCTGCTGGTACGGCAGCAACGCCGCCGTCAAATGCATCGACGGTTTGCCCGCAGGAAGCACGTCGCGCTTGATAAAAGCATCGTCGCCCAGCGCAACGCGCTCGTCTTCCACACCTGAAGCGCGCCAGAGCTGAATCCACCGATGGAGGAGACATCGGCCATTACCGCGCTTCGTGTTGAGTGCCAAATATGCTCGGACGCGCTCAACGTCGGCTCCATCGAGCGCTTCAAAACCATGCAGCTCCTTTGGCACTTGGTCGTTGAGTAGAGTGCACTCCACGTGCTATGCGCAACGCCGTCACGACGGCAACGGGAGCTGCATGCTGCATACCTTGCTGTACGCCATAATGCCAAAACGAGAGTGCCGCAGACGGATGGACACAATTAATTCGCCCTTGACCAGAGTCTTTTCGCACGTTTTACACTGTGAAACACATGAGCTGCACGATGAGATGATGGGCAGCTAACGTACACGAGATCGACCAGTCGGCGCGTATGCGACTTCGTAGTGGGGGTATTCGGTGGGCGCGACGGGCGCCCGGACTCGTTCGTCCGGACTGCTTCCTTCATCGCCGTCTTTCTTGACACGCTTTCCCGCACCAGCTTGTTTTGGTTTTGAAGGTGGCTGGGCTTTTTTCTTGGGCTTCAACGGGGCGTTGTCGTCGTCCGAGCTGCTGCTGCTGCTGCTTTCTTCAATCAGGTCCTTCCCACGCGCTGCCTTGGACTTCAGCGCTGCCGCCCAGTTCGTCACTTGGTCGTCGTCGCTACTGCTGCTCCCTGCGACGAAATCACTGCTGTCGTCGTCGTCACTGTCGAGTTCCACCGCTGCGTCTTTCATTTGCTTGCGTTTGCCTTTCGCCGTCACGGCACGTTTCCCTCGAGTCGAAGATGCTACGACTGGCTTCGTGGACGACCGCTTCGCACGACGTCCTTTTGACAACCCGATATCATCCGACTCGCTTGACGCAAGGTCGCCGTCGGCATTGAGTCGTGCGACTGGTTTGACGGTCTTAGTTGGTGTCATTTTGAGCTTCTTGACGTCCTTGGAGTCCACGAAATCATCGCTGCTGTTGTCGCTGCCGCTCTCCTTTTTGACCGTGATGTTATTTGCACTCGTGCGAAGGCGGGGTGACGTTTTGATGGACTGTTCCTCTTTTGGCTCAGTTTTGACACGTGTGGGTTGACTACGCCGAGATGGCAATGAGGATGCTGTTGATTCTACCCTCGTCACTTTAGCGTTCTTCGGGACTCGAGCTGCCCTGCTTCGAGGGGCAACGGTGACTTCGTTCGAATCGTCTACTCCGTCGTCGCTACCTCCAACCGCAGTGTCCATGTGCGTCGAGTCGTCTTCTTCATCTGTTTCTTCTACCATTGAGTTGACCACCTTGACGAGGGGACCAGTTGTTCTCGTGCTACGGCGAAGCGCAGGCGATTTTGCCTTCACGGATGCATTCGAAGGACGCTCGTGTTGCTTGTCCAAGACTGCCCCTTGTGCACGCTGCTTCTTTGGTGCAGATGCCGTTGCAGGAGCTGCCTGTTTGCGCTTGCGGGGGGCACGGCTGTTCGGTTCTGGCGCTGCCTGGCTTGGAGCAAGTCGCGACGATCGGCGCTGGGACGTTGTCGCCATGTTTGTCTCGCCAACGCGAATTCGAATTGAAGTTCAAACGCAATCAGGCGTTGATCGATTATCCGGATGCTCATTTTTATTCAAAGAATGCATCCGCCTACCAAAATCAAGTGAAAACGCTGTATTTTAATTCTCAACCATTCACGGGGAGGATCTCAAATTGGTGGGAACAGGGCGGTCGTGCCCAGTCGCGGCAAACATGCACGGTCCTCAACACTCGACGGCACTCACGACATCGACTCCTCGCACTCGTCCACGTAGGTACAGGTGCCCTCGGGAAACTCGTCCACAGGCAGCAGCAGCATTTCATCGTCAGGCTTGGCTAGAAACGATGCCAGGTGGTCGTTGCAACGCAGACATACGCGATGGGACCGCTTGAGCAGTGCCTCGCAGTGCGTGGTGCATTGTTTGCACGCCAGCTACGATGGACGCAAGTGCGACAAGTACTTCAGTTCAAACGACACGACGGCTGGAACGTACCATGTGGCAGACCTTACATTTCACGGTTGGATGGTACCATTTCAACTTGGTCGTGCACACTTGGCACAGCTTGGCCACGGCACTCAACGACCCACGTGGGTTCGCAAGAATGGACGATGCAGATGACGACTGCCGTCGACGCATGGACATCGACCGCTCGTCTTCCCATGACATCGAATGGCTCATACGCAAGTCGTTCTTGTCAACAAACGGTTGGGATTCGGCTCTCGCCAACAGTCGACGCACCATGACGGATGCGACCCACTTGGGCATGTTCCCGCAATGGTCTACATTCAAGACAATCGTTCGGTGCAGTTGGCGCCGATCGGATCCCTCTATGACGACCGTGCCGGAATGCTTCAACGTGGCTCGCACATGATGTTGCTTGGACGACGAAACAAAGAGCGGAATCGAATGCAGACATCGCACGTAGCCGCGGCGACCGGACTGCGTTACGATGGGCTTTTGAATCTGCTCATGCATTTACTTTCCGCGATCCACAAGTTCGGACGAACCTCGACGTAGCAAAAGTCGCGATCATGCGTCCATGGCCCACCCGACGCTAGCGACCACTTGACGGTCACGACAACATCATCGTCCTGTCCTGAGTGGATGGCGCACAGCGTCGAAGTTGAGTGAAAAGCGTTGAATGCGTACGGGTGGACATGGCGTTGGTAGTCCTCGATGGATGCATGGCCTAGCAAGGGACCTGCCTTGACCCGACAGATCTGTCGGTCGCTTTCTCGTTTGGCCGTGGCTTGGGTTGAGGCGCCAGCAGTGGTCTGCTGCAGAGCGAACGCGACAAGCTCGGACGCTGCAATGTGGGCGAATTCAAGCAGCTGGGCTTTCTCGAGCCCAGTCAGAATGAGCGGCGACGTGGGGTCGTGGATGCGCAGTGGAGACGTGCTTCCTGAAGGGGAGAACGGGTTCGGGATGGACGTCCTGCGTCCCAGAGGATGCAAAGCAGAGAGCGACGTCGACGTACTGGTTCGACGCCTGCTCATGTAGCTCGGACGTATCGGTCGGGGCCTTGTCCGCCTCGGATGTTGTGGCGGGAGCAAGTAGCAGCGTCTGATCTGGCACAACGCTGTGCACCTTCATGTGTGAGACATGCACTCTCCACAAAATGCACTCTCACGTCGTGGCAGGGGCGCAAGGTTCGTGTATTCCACATATTCACTCACTCTCCTCCTCATCGTGATTTTTTTATTCATGTTCGTACAGTCGTGCTGTAGTACAACCGAAACCATTTCCCTTGAAATGTTGTTTTTGCAAATCCACTCACTCTCTACATACTCACACGTCGTTCTCTCGTCGACCGTTACGGGAGCCAAACGCCGCGGCCGTCGCATTGTCCAAGTATGGACGGCACGGACGGGCGCGGAGCGCGGCATGGCCATTTGGGCATTCTACGGCTTATGAAGAACGACAGCTTTGTGAAAATTGTGGGCATGCATAATTCGTGTCCCACTTGAAAGCGATGTAGCCGGAGTCGTGTAAAAGAGTTGGCGCCAGCGATCTGATCAGGGCCATCTAGACGACGGACAGCACCGAGTCGTGTACTAGTTGAGAGAGACCTTTCAACACGGCGCCGTCGTGACACATGCGGAAGAGGCGGGGCGAGGAGAAGGCTGCTGTAGGGGAGTTCTTACGTGTGTGCAGACCTGTTTGCTCGTGTTGCCATGGGGATGATGACAGTCGGACGACGCCCAACAAACATGCCAACCAAAACACTGCGTTTTCATGCAAGGGACTGTCCTGATTGACGTGAACTTGTCGATGCCGCCGCTTCTTGGAGTTCTTGCAGCGAGTGGTACACCCCAAGCAGTTCAAGATCGTGGGGTCCGTCGGGGGGTTAGGTCGACGCTGGACGAACAAACTAGTCTGCCAGAGCCATCCATCGAGATTCCCTGCCCGCATCGACCGATGTGGGTGGGAGGCTTTCGATCTCCGGCCCCGTCGGTTGAAGGTTTGCGGCAGCCCCTGTGGGCCTCACGTCGGTTGAAGTGTCATCCCCGCCACGGGATGGCTTTACCTCTGGCGAGACTGGTCCAGCTAGGGTGAGCTGTCGTACGAGTGTGGACAGTTGATCAAGTTGTTGTTTCATGGCAGCGATTGCAGCTGCGTTCGCTTGGCATTGTTGGCATGGGTCAAGTGCCCGTGGCAGTGCCAGCTGCCCATGTCGCCCTTTTTTCTTGCGTTTACAGAGTTCATGCTGCTGCTTTCGCACAGCTCGTCCGCGCCATGCCGCCTGCAATCGTTCCTTTTAATGTATGCATCTTCAATGCAGGCAGTGGGTGGTTTCACCTGGAGCCGAATCACAGCTCTTGTCAACTGGCGCAGGTTGGCGCGGTCCATAGCCGCTTGCATGTGGTGCACCTGGGACCATAACGCGACCGTTGCTTCGTCTTGGATCACGACTTGCCGCTCGAGCTTGCCCACGCGGAGAGATAGACGATGCAACTCGTACACCAATGTCGACGCCACCATCGACAGTGTTCCCGCGCCGCGAATCCTATGTCGAGTCATTTGCATCGTGGCGAGACCAGTCGTACCAAAACGGCTTGGACCGGGCGACATGGCCCCGCCACAGGCGCTGCACTTGCAATGCGCCGTGCTGCATGCGTTGCCACCGCTCCAACCGCTGCCGCGTGCACCACCCTCGCACGATTTTCTACATCGCTGTGACTCCAGCACGAATTGGCACGGTTGGGCAAACTCACGTACTTGGATCACCTGAGCATAGACGTGAAACACGCGTACGTCCAGAGGAATCGTCGGCCACACAATCAAATTGGACGACGTATGCAGCTTCGACGTCGTCAGGAGAGCAGGACGGGTTGAAGGGAGTCGTGGCAAGGGGGGCGCGACGGATAGCCGAGAGCACTTGACACGGGCAAGGTGTCCTCGGTAGTATTTCTACAACGCCGTGTCAACCAGTGGGTACGGCTATCCAACGCACCTGTATGCATGTGGCGCTCTTTGTGCGGAGCCACTGCTCCCGCTTGACCCAGACCTACATCGCGCCACCACTTAGACGAAAGGAGATGTCTGCATACCTGACCTTCATGTATCGTCGCATGTGCTGGACGTGATCTTGAAGGGCAGCTACCATCTTGTGAACGTCGTGGCGGGACGTGTCATGTTTGCTTGGCTTGGTAAACGCCGCAGGAGCGGGCACATCGTTGTGCGGGACGAATGTACTCGAGTGTGACAGGGGGGCTTCCCCCGAGATACACCTGTGGATCGAGAAAAGCTTGTGATCAAGCAGGCACTCACAGGCGTACCGAGGTGTAGAGGTCAGGAATTCTTGAGAATCTGCGAGGGTTGAGTTGGTGGCGATCGTGTGAGTTGCAAAATAGCGCGGTTGTGGTGCCGCTGGTGGACGCATTTCGACGGAAGGTGGCCGGGTTTGGTGGGATGATCGGAGGTTGTCCACCGCTGCCTGTCGTTCTCCTTTCAACCGAAGCCTCTCGATTTGCTCCTGCTGTGACCGTTGCTGGAGCACCTGCTTCCACATCTGCATCTTGACATCACGATCGGACAGGTCAAGCCCTACGACCCTCGAAACGACGGGCACCGGAGGAGGTTTCACAGCCTGGCCGTCCAAGGTAGTCAGGGAAGGAAAGATAGAGCTCAGTGCTGCCATGGCGATGGCAAAGTTGATGACGCAGTCGTTTCCTGCTAGCTCAAGAGTGTGTAGCGACGTCAACGGCTGCAGGCGGCAAGTGTCAAAACATTGTACCTACGAGATGTTCATGAGAGAGGCATGAAGAAGACGTGCCAGCACACGTGATCGATGCAGTTGCGAGCCAAGTGAAGCTGTCGAACTTGTGGAGGCAGCACGGTGTGCAGGAGTCGAAAGGCTGGGAGTTGATTGTCGTTGAGGTTGAGCTCCTACGCCATGGAAACAAAGTCGTAGTATGCCTCTTTCGACGAAGACATACCTCCAACTTCACCAAGGCAGCGAATCGTGGCCACACATTGATGCAATTGATCGAAGCATTTACATGTGTCAGCGACATGTTGTGTTCAAGAGTGTCGATGTCTGTCAGATTATTGTCCGAGACATCGAGCGATTCGAGATGTGCGAGGTGCTGGAGGCCATCCAACGAAGTGATGCTGTTCCTCGACACATTCAGCCACACCAGCGCTCCGAGCACTTCAATTCCAGACAAGGACACGATTTTGTTACTCGACAAGTCCACCTACGACACCACTTGTCCCATCCACAACACAACTGTCAACGATTCCAGGTTTAACATACCCGCCGCAGGTGCACCAGTCGTCCCAGGTCATGGAGGCTGTAGATTCGGTTGGAGGACAGCACTAGCGCCGTCGCTCGCTCATCGACATCCTCCGGTATGTACGCAATTCCTCTCCGCGACAAGTCGACATGCATCGCGGCGATTGCCAAAAATGGTATCTCGACGGATAACAAATTCATCCGGATACACTCCAACGTCACACTCAAAATATGCTCAAAATAGACTCGTTTATGTTGGTGCAATAGTGGTGAGAAATTGGGTTGTCCACGTGTGCAAAGTCGATCACATCTCTCAAATGTCCCTTGACCACACCCGCGTCGTGCGGTCCATGGCAAAGTCCACGAAGTTGTCGATGGGATGGATAATGAACGGAATCACGCCAAGCCCGATGCATGTCGGACCCCACTTGAGCATCGCTGGAGTGGCCTTCGCTTGCTTTGAGATCGCGTACGCCGATGCAGCAACCTAGTGCACGCCGTTTTCGTCAGATTCGATCGACCCAGCACGACGTCATCGAGAGTTCATTACCACACGATTGATCACGACGCCTGGAATGGCCACGCTAGCCTACGAGAGAGTTCGCTCACTACACGAACGACATGTGCATTCAACCGTTGAGTACATACAAATCCTTGCCATATCAAAGTGTCCAGAGCCGCCTTAACAGCGCGAGTTTTGTTGTCTCCACGCCCCAATGCCGACGACGGCTGTGTTGACGGGTCTTCGTTGAGAGCGCCCATGCCCTTGTCAATCGTGTCGCCTATGACGTACCCGATGGCCACAACATACGACGGCGCAATAGCACGCGGAAACAATGGGCGAAAGGACTCGCCCAGTTCATTCGCGTATCCAAGGTACCGGAGAGGGCTATCTCGCCATACATCGAACGGCGCCGATCGTTCCGCGTTGGTCATGTTGCCCTGTGGAGGCGAGTCGAGTTTGATTGGCGGACCGTGTTCTGCGGAAGGATGTTTAAACGAGTCTCCACCACGCTTTAATCCATTTAAAATATTTGAAATATGGCATGCGTTTTTTTCGACTATGTCGTATTGACATTAAACGTCATCGGTACATGGAATGAGTGTTCAGTATTTTATATACCGTGGTCTTGTTTAAACAACTCGAGTCAATCGCGGGTTCTAAATGAAGAACTTGGCGACACGACCGTTATCGAGAAGATGCGTGGGCAGACACTTCATTTTGCCTCGTTCCAGGGGCGCTACATTGCTCGATCCGAGGTCTTCGTGAAAGGTTTCTCGCATGACGGACGTCCTGACCAGCCGCGAGCTCTTGCTCGTCATGGTCCAGTTCCAGCCAGGTGTGTGCTACCAACTCAAGCCCTTCCTGGATGCCTTCAACCAAATCTCCGATTCCCACATGAGCTCCACACGCCATGCCGAGCTGCTCTTTGCCCATAACATTACGTTGCCCCATGTAACCATGATTCGACTGCACAGCGAAATCCGACAAGCCAAAGCTGTGATGGCCCTCCAGCAATCCAGACTCCTCCTAGAAGCATTCGATATCCATGGCGCACCGTTTTTCAATCGTTTGCTTCGGTGCCTACCACAAATGCTGGACGCAAAGTTCCTACAACTCGCCGTCGACACAGGAATCCTCGGCATTATTCAGTTCTACCACCGACATTTACCCGAGTTCTTCTCTCCAGCTCTCATGGATAGTGCTGCATCCCGCGGCGACCTACGTGTGCTAAGGTTTCTGCATGCCCATCGAAACGAAGGCTGCACGACGAAAGCAATGGATCAAGCTGCTGCCCACCGCCACTTGTTTACGCTAAAGTGGCTCCATGCGAACTGCTCGGAGGGATGCACTGTCGACGCGATGAATCATGCCGCGCAGCACGGCTTTCTCTCTATCGTGCAATGGCTTCATCAAAATCGAAAGGAAGGGTGTACGACGTACGCCATGGACGAGGCCGCGCGGGCAGGACACTTGCAGGTTGTACAATGGCTGCACGAGCATCGGACGGAGGGCTGCACGACTGCCGCCATGAACGGCGCCGCGCAATGCGGCCATCTGGACATTGTAAAGTGGCTGCATACGAATCGAACAGAAGGTTGCACCGCAGATGCGATGGACCGTGCGTGCGAGTCTGGCCACTTGGCTGTGGTGCGATTTCTCGGGGACGTAAGGCGGGCGCCGTCGACTCCGTACTCCATGGCTGCTGCAATTCGAAATGGGCACGTGGCCATCGTCAAATATTTGCACGAAGTTAGGGGCGAACCGCTGCAAGTTCAGAGCCTCTGCAATGTCGACATGCAGGAATACCTGCGACAACACTCGACCGTCGCAGGTGCCGAGCCAGCGTGATGCTGCTCTGCGTCGGACCTCTCTCGAACGGATGGGCACGATGCCATTCCAAGAACGTATTTAACACGGGTTGTTGCTCGCGAGCGCTTAGAAGCGTCCATGCTCGGCACCTATTCCAATCGAGATTGGACAACCGCCATCTTCAATAGATGGTCATCCAAAGTGCTCAGTCGGCATCTTTTGCAATGCTGACCCTGCGCAGATGGCAAGGGCGGCAGCGAAAAGCCACTTCAATTCAATCGCCTCGTGTGTATGATGTGGTAGGATTCTCGATGCCGCAGCGCAGGGTGGCGACGGCATAACTGGGCCGCACGCGTGGCATGCATGTGCCAATCGCCATGGAGACTCGCCCAGCCGTCGGTGTCGAGCCTGCCTTGCACCGCCATGAACGAGGACGAAAGGTCGATGTAACTGTTGAAACGCCCCCTTGACGACACGACATCTTGGATGGCAAGTGCCCGAAATACATGGTGATCCATCATGGTGAGCCAGCATGGCGACGGGCTACGACGAGCTCAATCGAGGTGCCGCATTCATGGAATTCTGCACGCATGCGATGCTGCAAGTGCTGACGAGCCGCGAGCTCATCCTCGAGATCGTCGCGTTTCAATCGGGGGTGTTTTACCAAGTGCGGCCTTTCCTTCAAACCCACCAACGACTCGTGGAATCGCTGCACCCGTTGGCCAACCATGCTAAACTTCTCAGCTCCCCAGCCTTTCCAGACATGACCCGACTCAAACTACACAGCGAATTGCGCCAAGCCACAACGTACGTTTCGTTGCGGCAAGCCACGCTCCTCGTTGAAGCAGTCGACCTCTTCGGCCTCACGTTCCTTGGTCGGCTGTATCGTTGCCGACCGTGCCTCTTTGACTCAACCTTCCTCGCCCTGGCCATCGAAGCCGGCAAGAGCAACGTTGTAGCGTTCTACCATGACCACGTCGTCAAGCAGGTTCCAAGCATCTTCCATACGACAGGGGCGATGAACGCCGCAGCAGGCCATGGCCGCCTTGACATCGTCCGTTTTTTGAACGACTGCCACCCCAGCAACCATGTTGGATGTTCAACGCTAGCGATGGACACGGCGGCTGCAAATGGTCACTTGGCCGTGGTCAAGTATTTGCACGCTCATCGAAAAGAAGGATGCACGGTGGGCGCGATGGATCGCGCCGCCCAGCACGGGCTCCTTCGGATCGTCCAGTGGCTTCATGAGAATCGAACCGAGGGGTGTACGACGGCGGCAATCGACGGTGCCGCCCGAGCCGGCCACCTGGATGTAGTGCAATGGCTCCATTCGCATCGTAGCGAAGGGTGCACGGCCGCAGCCCTTGACGGAGCAGCGCAGAGCGGGCACCTTGCAGTGGTGCAATGGCTCCACGACAATACGTACGAGGGATGCACCACCGACGCCATGGACCGCGCGTGCGAATCGGGCCACTTGAACGTGATCCAGTTCCTGGGAGACAATCGACGAGAAGGATGGACGCCGTACGCCATGGCGTCGGCCGTACGAAATGGCCACGTCGATGTTGTGCGATACCTCCACGAAGTCAAGGGGGTGCCGTGTCCGCAGTTGAATGTTCATGCCAAGTGTAGTCGCGCCATGACTGAGTACCTTGTACGACAGCGCACGCTGCTGACTTGTCGAAGTGCACGCAGCGGTACAAGACAAAGCGCGGCTCGAGTTCGAATCGGGTAGCTCCTCGACGTAGTACTATCTCTCATACTCTAGTTTCAACGCACGCGGTGTCCAACCTGTGCTATTCCACGGCCTCGAAAGCCACGTCGCGACGAGCTCTTGTTTGCCATCATTTCAAAGTTGTACATAGCTACCCATCAGCCGTGCCGGTGGTTTTATGCCTGAATTGGAGTGATGTGTGTCATGGAATCTCATGCCGACCTCCTCGCACTCCCTGCTTTCAGCAGTGACTACCGTTGCCGTCGGCCTCGTGCAGACGGCCTATACTAGGATTCAACCGACTTCCCGATACGAGGCGTATGCATTCCATTCATGGCATGTTGGCTTGGCTAACCAAAGCTGCGAATGAAGACAGTGGACTTGGAGGTACAAGTGTCTTCCGCCAGCACGTGCGGCGCACATGCGCGGAGGGTCGTCGGCACGTTGCTATTGACGTCCTTGTCATAGCAGGTAAAGACTTGGGACAATTCGTTGCCGTTTTCACACTGGAGGACAGCGTGGTTTACGCCGCCGAACGCATCGCGCACGTCCTTGGTCGACACGGTTTGCCCCACATGCTGCGTGATGAAGTCGGGGGTTCCCTGGGATTTGATTTTGTCGATGGCAGACTGGAAAAATGCGACTTGGTCGAGGCCCCTGCACGTGCCGTGGCGAGACCATTCGTGAGCCCAAAACCTATGAGCCCGTTTGTCATTTCCATAACATCGGTCGATACGCGTACGAGTCATAATGCGTCGTGTTGGCAGCCACCTTGACGTTTGGCCAGTATTGCTCGAGGACGCCTTCACCAATAGCTGTCCGCACAGAGTTGATGTCGAGCGGTTCCTTCGTGCAAAACCCTGGATGAGGTCCGTTGGCGAGCTCGGGCCACAGACCATGAATCGTAAAGTGCGACGCCCAGTATGAGTCGGGGACAGAGCAACCTGATGGAACGCGTTGGAAAGTTCGTTTGCCACGTGCAGAGGTTGCCACCAACCTGGGTAGTCTTCGCCCGCGCAAAAGGACGGTTGCCACGAGTGCGCAAACACGTAAAAGTCAAAATCCGTCATGGCGTCAGCGGAGTGTTTCTGTGCAGTGAAATCTTGCGGGTTGGCATTCCAGACGTCTGTGGCGGCGGCGGTAGCCACCGCCAAAGTCAGTCGATGCACTCCACGCATCTTGTTACTCTTTGCATCTTCGATCTTTCGAGTCCGGAAAACGTTTCCGGATGTCCTCTCAAAGTGAACTGACGACAAGCAAAGGCAGCATTCTGTTTCGACAGCGAGCAGAATGTGGTGGGGTAAAGGTGGCCCTTGCCGGCCCCTTCCTTTCCCCAACACACATTGGGTCCACGTGTGCATCATGTGGTCTACTCCCGGCCACACATGACGGAGACCAGCGATTGCAAGATTCGAGCCATGTGAGAGACGTCTGGGCACACCACAAATGAGGCAGCATGTCGCAGTCAACCAGAATGAGGCATTCAAGCCCACAGTGCCTTAAGCAGAGAGCTCAGGTGGACTGAAGCGAATTCACACGACGTGTCTTTGGTGAAGTCGACAGTAACCGGAAGGTAGAGCTCGCACCCAAGACTTGTTCCTGTGTGATCGGGGCTTGATTCCACCACCAGGCAGTGACGATATAGCATGTGGATCATGTCGTTCAGCTCACTTCTGAGGGCTGGATAGTTCTATCGGTAGGCATTCATAGCGCTCTCAAACGGGAATGGTTGCCTACTGTCGCGTGAGTTGCGATGCCACAACGCCTTCCGGGTATCGTTTCCATTGCGTTCAGCGGACATTTCGAAGGGTGAAAATTGTTAACCAATCAGAATGCTTCAAACGCGAAAATGCCACCAATCAAATTGCGATTTCGTGTGATTAGCGCCGCCGACGGCATGATAATCGAGGCGCGTCGTCCACACATCCGCTCCTCGTTCACACATCCACTTCGCTAGCCGTCAAATTCATCATGGACCACTTTGTGCCAGTTCCAGACGACGTTGAGGATCAGCGGTACGCGAAGGAGGTTCTGTATGCCCATGTGACGGCGCGGTCCATTCAAGTGTGCGCGGGTCTGGCAACAGTCGGAACACTCGCGTCGGCACCCTTTGTCAAGAGCAAGACAGTGTCGCTGACCACTCGTGTTCTCACCAACAACAGCCGTGCTGTATTGCTGGGACTTGTCGCGGGTCCCGTTATGACGTTTGGTCGCATGCAAGGTCAAGCGGCGATCGATTGGCAAGACCGGACGTGGCGATTGCTGCAAAACCCTGGGCAGAACAACGCTGACATTGGGTTTGTTGTGGGGTCCGTCGTCGGTGGGCTTGGTGCCGCGGCTGCGTCGAGCGTGCCAGGTGCGGCGAAGAGACTCTTGGGCGGAGCTGGCGTCGGCAGTGTCGTTGGTTTAGGTGTGGCCGCGTTCGTTCCTAAAGGCACAGAATAGATATCTCCTGACATGCACCACCTTTCCGATCATCCCGCAGCGAGCAAGATATATCCCTTGACGTCACCATGAAGGCAACACACATCCTCTCGATCACCTTCAATGCGTCCGCAATGATATCGCAACATGGAAACGAATATACACACCGATCGATGGGCGATGGTTGTGGCCATGTCGAGGCAGGACGAACACAAGGCCCACTGAGGACTGTCACATCTGGGGTACTTGTACGCGAGCTTGACACGATCATTGGCGCTCAGAGTCCGCGGAGGGTGGGCGCGACAGGAAGAGTTTACGTTATGAGGATGACACCGACAACTACTGGGACCTCCGCTCAACCATTCGATCTAGCACCGGCACCCGCGACCTCCCCCAACACGGCCCAACCGCAGCCGGGCGCAATGGCGATGGACGCCAGTCGCCACGTTTGGTTGAATGAGCGTGGATTTTCGTGTTGCCTTCGTTGGCGTAGTAAGTGGCTTGTACTTTCAAACCCTCCGCCGTCGTGCTTGCATGAGCTCCTGACCACACATCTCGCCATACCCTGTTCGTACTTTGCAGCAAGACATGGCGAGGCCCTCGCTTGACAGGACTGCCATATGCACCAAACCTTCACTGTCAAGTGTGCGATGCGTGAGGGTCATGGGCTATGGCCAGCGGAGGTCGCCAAGTCTTTGGAGCGGTCGAAGCACACTGTACCTGCCAGCGACCTCGGCATTCCTTCTAAAATGCACCGCTGCGATGGCAGGCCTTGAGATGCTAGTGAAAGCAGCACTCCGTGTCCAAGTGTAGTGTGGCGCCATGGAGTGAACGTCCATGGCACGTAGACCACGGCACGTTCCCAGCGCGCGCCCACCATACAACATGATCAGACGAGATAAATATCGTCTTGTTACATTGAAAGGAACGCACGGAATGTGAAAATGCAGTTGTCTCGAAGATGGCTCGAGACAGAAGTGCTACTGCGGACAGTGCTCGTCAATGAGCAGTGCAGAGCAAGGTGGGCCGTCCGTCGCTCAGATGTCGAGTCGACTTTGTCGGTGGCCACGTAGCCCCCAGTCGCGATAAATGGGGGGTGGTCCCATAACTCTCTGGGACCGAGTGGACTGGGGAAGGGGCTTGGCCTGAGCCAGCTATCAATCGCTGGGGGAGGTCCAAAGCACTTGCCATGCGCAGGATGGCAAGAATGGTCTGGATGGTGTCGGCGGCGTCACAAGCTGCTTCACTGGTGGGCTCAAGCGGAGACCATGCAGGCGGGTGCTTGTCCATGGACTGGACGAGCAATGTACGGCGAGTCGTCGCGTCCACGTATGTTGTGCATGCGGCGGCGTCGGGTGGTTCCACAAATGTGGAAGGATAGTTGCCAAACGAGGATGGGTCGTGTTGGGCTTGGATAGTGTTGGCTTTACGGATGGATTTGATAGTGCATTGCTTGGGTTGGAGAGCTGCCGAGTTGGGCTGGCTACTGGATTGCATGAGGAAAGAATTCCGAAGGGGGGTCGTCGTCGCGGCCGTGGCAGACTGAATAGCGAACGTCGGTAACGCAACTGAAGTCGTCGGTGTCTCGGGGAGCAGTACCGAGAAGGAGCCGATCGAGTTCAAGATTGGTCTACTCGAGGGCGTCACCAGGAGGGTCGCACACAACCACCGACTTCGCTTGGGAAGGCGGTAGGACTCGGACTTGCAATTCGGAAATGCCAACACACAACCTGCGTCGGTCGGCATGCCGCGGCGTGCTTGCCCGCGAATCCATGGCGGAATAAAGACAAGGACGGCGCGTGTGCGATGGCCATGTGAGGTGCTGCGTGTCTATTGCTGGATCTTCACCATTTTCCAATGGCCTGGGCCGGTTGCGTCGGTTGTGGCCCACGCCGCACCTCTGTGTTCGATCAACTAGAGCGACTTCACTAGACGGCGAAGCGATCTCTCATGCATTCGTCTAGCTACATGGCGCGCATGACGGGGGCTGGGGCCGCGAAGGGTGCCTGAACCAGCGCCGTCTGCGTCGGGCTTGGCGGAGGAAGGTGCGGGTGCGGGCGGGCGTTGGGCAAAAGGACATGAAAAGATCTGGGTGCCACTTGATTCGATTGGATCTAGTTGAGCCAATGGGACATTTTTCCGCAAATTTCCTGCACATTCGTGAGCTGACGTGGCGACGTCGGGCCAGAAACGCAGCGGCGCAAGATCGCTCGCCGTGGCCGGGCGCCATGGATAGTTGGATAGATGGGCACACGGATCAGTTCAACTCGCCGCGCGCTTGTGCTTCCATCGCGGTGCGGGTGAGACGAGGGCGAAGAAGGTGACGTCACACTCCCGGGATGCAAGTTCTCCACCATAACTTGCCATTCCGGCGCCGGTCTGGTGGGTGCCGTCGCTGTACCAGCAATTCATCCAGGCGGCATGAGTAATCCGTGCTAGCACACGAGCCACCCATGTGTTTGATGCATAAATGTCGCGGATGGATAGCCCACCACATTTTTCACTCGGCCACATATTTCACGGCCAACCAAGGTACACTGCCGTGGTCATGCGCTGGTCGTTTTCGTGGATGTATCGAACGTGCGTCCGGGGCCGCCCATGTGAGGCTGTAGTGTGAACGCATGGAAGCTACGGCTCGTTTGAGGACTGCGCTGTCCGTCAGATGAGGTCCTCCGTGTGGCCTGTTGGAGGTAGTCGCTCCAGATATCACGGTTGCCTCGACGGCTTGAGGATGCGCCGCCAGCAAGACAATGTGCTTTCGACGGTTCGCAAATCTGCACCAAGAGACACCCGACGCACAGAGCGACGAAGTCACCGTTGACATGGTCTCCTTTGCCTACCATGAGGCAGGCCATCCAAGGACAGAATGCGATGGCTCCAGTGCAAGTCGGCGTCGTCGAGTGTGGAGCAACCTCGAAGACAATCCAGTTGTTGTGTGGGTGCATTCAAGGCCGCACGTGTCGATGCCACGTCGCCACATTCGAGCAGGCGTGATACGCCTTGTGCAAAGTCGACAAACAAACGCGAGGACGATTTTGGGATCGCTTACGCTCGCTGGTCCGTGTGGGCTGTCACCACACACGGTGGAATTTTGAGGAACTCGTCAAAGTCGTACTTGACTATTTTGGGGCAGCACGACCAGTGCTTGCCCGCGTCACGAAAGATTGGGGCGCCGACGTGGTGCGGGCATGCTCGCTCGTTGTTTTCTGCAACCACGTATTCCTTTTGGCAGCCATAGTTGACGCATCTCGCTTTTCCATCGGTACGGACGGCGGCCGGTTTGGATTTCCTATGCGTGCGTGTTAGCCAGGCACGGGATGGGACGTCGTACGGGGCAGCGGCCGAGACGGCTGTGACTGCGTTCGGATTGTTTTGGTTGTACTCGTCAATGGATTTGACAGCTGGGGCCGGCACGACAAGAACAGGAGCGCCAAATCCTGTCGATTCCTCCTTCGGTGGCGGCGCAATCCCAGTCGTGCTGTGGAACCCCACCGCACACGGCTCGATCAGTTCAAATTGCTCCCAATCGTACACGAGCTTCTCCGTGCAGCACTGCCATCCCTTCTTCGTATCGTGAAAGGTAGGGGGTTTCGTGTGGTGTTTGCATGCGCTCGCGTGGTTTTCCACTGGGTTGAACTTTTCGCGGCACCCAAAATTCTTGCACTGGACCAAGTCCTTCGGTGCCAGGCGTTCCCGCTCCTCTGCAGCGCAACCACCGCGCATGAGTGCGAGCTATCACAGCGTACGACAAACCGCGAACGTACCGTCCGCGAGATCTTTCTTGTGCTTGTACGTAGACGGCCCGAGTTTGACATAAATATCGTCTCGGTTCTTGATCGTGTCGTGGATCGTTTCATCACCGCGGAGGGCGCGGTTCTCGGAGCGCTCCAAGTGGTACGCATTCGGGTCCACTTTGTTGTCCGGTTTGCGCTCGTTGTACGTGTCCAAGAAGAACTACGAGGGAACGATCCATGCCATGGTGACAGTGGCTCGGTCGGATTCGAGTATACCTCTTTCAAACGGTCGACTGTGGCGCCTGACCACTTGGACGGAATCGTCAGCTTGAGCGTAAGGTGGTTCGCTTCGTCGCCTTCCTCAAAATGGAGGTAAATCTTCTTGAGCCGCGCGCCTTCCGGCACAACGGGAGTCGACTCGGTGCCGCCCATCGCAAAGTTCCAATTGTGGGGATCGCCGGAGCCCACAACCAGACGAGCCAATCAAATGGCGCCAAGGCCTCCCTGTGCACGAAAACGCCGTTCGACAGAAATCCGAACATTCCACCGACCATCCGAGGGATGAGTGGCCGTCGCGAGGGACTGGAGCGATGCCACAGCATTCACGGTTGCCGCCATGGCCATGGAAGGGGGCGATACTACGATGGTCCATCGAGAGGCCAGGAGCGCTGTATGTCCTTGCCGGTATGGCCAAGAGACTGTTCTTGGGGAGTGTGTGATGGTGATTCAGATGCCGCGACCTTCCCACTAGATCGGTGACTTCCATTGCGATGGAGCTTGCAATAGCTACATAGCTCAAGATTGAGATGTGCGAAGATGCGAAGTCTAATGGAATAGTAAGAGTTAAATATTGTCCTGGGAATGCTGGCTCCGATGAAACTGGGCGAGTTGACGCAACCGCGCGAGTTCTCGCGTCAGGTGCTGGAGCCTCTGCTGTTGGTGAAATCGTGAATCGGCAGCAGACTCGCGGTTTGTTCGTTTGCGGTATTGGTCCTTGGTTTCGCCTTCGCGCATCGCGCTCTTTTGCTTCTTCACGGGCGTCCATGGTTTGCTCTGCAGATGCGGAAACTCGTCTTGCAGCTGCGCGAGTTCGTTCAGAATGAACGACACCCGCTTGTCCCGATTCTCGCGATAGGACGCAGCCGATATGCGATTCTTCGTCTTGTTCCGGTCGATGTTGCCTGTGGTGGCAACGTCGTTCATTGTCGATCGAGGCACGATGTGCCGCCGTTCGTTGCGGCGATCAATCGCCAGGCGCCGGCGTCGTGCCGCCTCGGCTTTGCGGTACTTAAACGTGGGCTTGAGCATACTCGTGTTGTCTGTGCATTCGACTTTCACCGACACGTCGTCGTCGTCTGACGGGGCGTGCGGTCGACGTCGATCCGAGTCAGTACTGCCCGTGGGACTCGTCATCTTGCCGTCCTCCGCATCCAGATACTCCTGGGGGAAGTTGGGGTGCTCGATCTGTATAGCCACATCAAGGAGGTACTCCAAGCTCATGCTTGTCACAAGGGAAGATGGCGGCGGCTGGACGCGTACGTTGGGAAGGGAATGCTGTGCCAGGAACGCTCCAAGTACACCAATACGTTTTTCAAAGGGATCGTATTTTTTTCATTGTATATAAAAATACGTGATCTCTATATCCAAAACCAGCTAGAATGGCACAATAAAATTCCATGCAGATTATTATCAAGGGCAAAGTCATTGAAGTACGTGAGCCAATCAACGTGCAGGGACTGGACATCGTCGAAGGCCAGCCACGTACTTGGTCATCCGGATAATGTGTCCGGTAATGGACGCGCTGCTTCGAGAAGGTGCCAGCTAAGAAGGCGGCGGCAGCGTGAGAAGAAGTAGTCGCTAGGCACCAGCACAGAGAGTTGGGTCTGGGGGTAGCAAACTGCCGAGGAGGTCCATTCCCCACGCGCCTCACCACGAAGTCCTAGTCGGCACTGCATCACTTCTGTGGCATATCTGTGCATGTAGAGTGAGGGAGCACACTGCGAAGGACGTCTACCCACATGTAGGCGATGACCATTGAGGCATTCGCTTGAGGGCAATGGCGTTGGAGTACATCAAACCATATCGCGTTGAGGTCTGCAGCATGAACCTACGTGTCCCCGGGTCCCCGTTAAAGGTAATCGAGGTGTTTCGGTGGCAGACTGTGGCTTCGACTACGTGATCCAGTGCCGAGATCTGCGCCGTCACCCGTGCGATCAGCATCGCCTGTGACAGCGACGTGGACTACACAACTCGTGAGGTATACGACACGCCGGCATTTTGTACTGTTCGACCAACGACGATTCCTGCTTCATGATGACCATGACTGCCGCCGTGATGCATAAGAGGGAAAAACACGTCATGTCTTGAGTCGAGCGTATCGGAATAGTCGAGAAGTAGTTGATAGTCTGCTGACTCGTTCGATGCGGAGTTGTGCACTTGGAATCGACACAAGTGCACTCTAGCGCCCCCACCACGTGACAAGATGAATCGGTGGCATGGCCCCACCTGGGATGCCACAGCGTGGTGTCGTTGTCAGAGCATTGCATGGCACGAATTTGCGGGTACAAGCCCGCAAGTGCAAACCAGATATCGATGGGGGAAAGTCCGTGAGGTGTGGAGCACACCAAGTCCTCCAGGCGTGGCCATCTTGCCGGTCTGGGACACACACAGGTCAGGGACACTCGACCATGCACAGCCCATCCAAGATCCTGCATGGAGGCGGCTTACATGGACAAATCCTCTAGAGAGGCCAGCAGGTGCTCCCTTTCGGCAATTTGTGATAGTGATCTCGCGTCCGCTTTCCACAGGAGCCTGTGGTCGTCTCGACGACATGCCATCCATGCGTCCAAGTCCAGGAAGGTCTGTCGCGCACGTTGGTTGGCATCGTGGACACAGAGGAGCGCATGCATCGTACACTGCAACGAAGGATGTGACTCGTCAGCAACTCATTTGACGCCGCAGAGATCGACGGCGGGGTTTCGTGGAGGAGCGACCGACGCCATGCCGTTTGGTGCCTGACGGCGTCCACTTGAATGGTCGGATTTGGATGCTAGCGAATGCACATGCCTGCGTCCGTTGGAATGACATCGGCATGGACGTACCAAGAGTCGCAGGAGGAGAGCCATCGTGCCCTTGTAATGCAGCCACATCGCACTTGGCACACTGCCTTGGATCAAAGCATCCAACGCATCTTCCGACGCCAGGACGTCGCTCTCGGTGCGCCACGCAAACATTGGTAGAGTGCCTTCGTCGCGACTTTCTTGAACAAGTGTCAGCATGGAATTCTGGGGCGTGTGGAATTCGAGGGCGACCAGCCCGATGAACCCGAGGACGCTTGCAATGCCGACGACCGCTAGGACTTGGGACAGCATGCATTCGCGGCCAACATCGTCACCTTCGTCGCTCGTGTCGCTGTCCAAGTCGAGCTCCTACGTTTGTCCATGTCTTCAAGCAGACGGACGGCAGGATGCATGGATACCACCGCCATGCCATCGTTGCCAGTGGCGAGAATCCGGCGCCGCCACTGGATCATTGTGAAGTCAGATCTTGAAACGGCACCGTCAACGATGGGGAAAGGGGCCGTGCTAGGATTTGTGTCACGCGTTCTGCAAATCTCAGCATGATGCCATCGATGGCCACGTTGTTGGCGCCGTCCTGCACGAGCTAGGTGCCTCGCAGACAACCTCCCGCCACCTCATCCCGAACGGCCATGCGAGTTAGTTCAGAGGTGTCGAGTTAAAGCGATTAAAACGATTCATTCGAAGGTGTGCTATCGTCGATTCACATGAAGAGCAGTGCGGGGGAGGGGCAGGGCGTGGAGGTGGGTTTGGCGCAGGCTCGTGGGAGCGCTGCGTGGCGCGGTCGTGGGCCGAGTTCGTTCGAAACGAGGGGAGGGACGTGTGCGTGCGAGTCTTGAATGACGGGGAGACGTGACTCCATTGTCATCACGTGCGGCGGAGCACGTACGGATGCTGCGCGACTTCCTGGAGCGTGCATCGCTGGTGGGGGTGGATGCACAACATCTTTTCGAGCAAGTTTGTGGCTTCGTCCGAGACAAAGTCTTCGAGTTCCCAGCCCTTGATGAGTTTCTTCAAGCCGAAACGAGTCAAGAACGCAAAGCTTTCATCCATCTTGGACGGGAGGTTGACGAGTGGCACGCCGGTGAGAAGCAAAAACAGGATGATCCCAAGGGACCACACGTCCGCCTTGGACGGGTCGTACGGCGCCACGTTGTCAAATACTTCTGGCGCGATGTAGTACGGCTTGCCGACGCGGTCGACAGGTCGGCTGTTGATGTCAACGGTCAGCCCAAAGTCGCAGATCTTGCACGTGTCGTTCGCGTCGACGAGGATGTTTTCAAGGGACAGGTCGCGGTGGGCAAACCCGGCAGCGTGGATGAACTTGAGCCCTGCCAGAATCTGAACAAAGTACCGCTCGGCTTGCATCGTGTCGAGTTGTTTGTCGACGGCGTTTTCCATCACGTCGAAGAGCGCGCCGCGGTGGCAGTACTCAAACACAAAGTGGTCGTAGCCGTCGGCGGCGAACGTCGTCTGCATCGTCAGGACGTTCGGGTGACCTCCTTCTTCCCGGAGCGTCTGGTTCACAAACAATTCAAAGTGCGTGTCTTCGAGCACGACTCGCTGGCGCTGGACCGTCGTGCGCGCTGCGCTCGCGTCCTGGTCGATCTTCTTGATCACAACCTGTTCGTGGGTTACGTTGTCGCGGCAGAGAAGGATCTCGCCGTACAGGGCCGGGCTCAGGACCTGTTCTGTCGTGAAGCGGGCAGCCATCATGATGCGCGTCTCGATGCCAACGAGGGGAATTTGGGAATGGCGCCGCGACGAGTTCTAGAACCCGCACCACAACCACGTGAAACCGTCCGCTGCTGAAAATTCCGCGCTGGGCTTTTCTTCTACTTGGTTTTTGTATGCCCATACAAAACGGCAATGTCATGAGTGGTGGTCCCAGTCACGTGGCCGCGCTACTTTGCGTCGGCGGCACTCACGCCACCCGCGATGCCAACCCCGGCGGACGGGGCCACCCATTACGCGCAGACGAAGCGACCGGTCGGGTCCATGGACGTGGTGGCGCTGCGGATGGGAGACCAGCCTGCCGTTGGGGCGACTGGCGTGGCGCCGGCCGAGACTACCCGTCGCACACGTGCGAGTTCAAACCGTCCTCGTGCTGTCGATCGATAGAACTTGGCGGCGCTCACGCACGAAACGGAGCTGACTGACCCTCCCTGCAGCGTCGTCTGTCGCGGGCGTTTTCTGGCCATGCACAAAACCGCTGGAGGGCGTCGTGCTTTTATTTCAAACATCGCAGGAATCGAAACATCGACGGACTGGGAAGTTTAGAGTCGGCCGGGGGGGGACCGCATTGCCGGAGAAGCAGGCTGTCCCAGGGCCTGTCCAGGGCAAGTCAGAAGGACTTGCTGCCGTAGATACTTGTGGAGAGGATCGCCTCGACGGTTGGATAACGCCGGGGGGGACTACAGTATCGACTTTGTCCATGTTCGAATCGACCGTTCTCGATGGCAAGGACACGTCTCGCTCGAGGACGCACCCAGAGCCCGCACGAAAGATGGGAAGAGGTTTGGAGCACAAAAGCAATGCACGCGTGAGCCAACCAGAAGACGTGGCTCTGCGAACGGTTGTCGCTTTTGCTGGCCTTCGATCCACCTTCGTGAAACGGTACGGGTTGCCGCCGCGCGGCATGGCGCAAATCCCCGACGACGCACGTCCACGCGGCGACTGTTTTTCTTCTGGTGGCACCGCCCCCTCGTCTTGCGTCGAACGATCGGACGCTTCGTGCTGGACGCACTGTCGCCTTGTCTTTGGGGCGGGCACGTCGAACAATTCGATGGAAAGCGTCCGCCTTGTGCTGGTCGCACGTCGACATAAACACGGTCCATCGCGATGTTTTGGGTCTGCTTTTCTCAACTGGTCAAGCACGGGGGGCGCCGCCGCCGCCACGAGGCGCGTGGGCGAGCGGACATCTCCCACGAACTCAACTTCGGCTGCATGGCGCCACGACGACACTGTCATGCGCATAGACCATTGCACAGACGGCCAGGCGTCGAAGTTTGTGCATGTTTTATGCCTTGTGTTGTCGCGGAGATATATCGGGTCGTGCATGTCTTTGGCTGCCGCCGCAACCGACAGATCAAATTGGCAAGAATGGAGCGGAAGAGGCCACAGAAAAGTCGGCATGGGCCATCCATTCAAACAACAACACACCCTCGATCGCACTCGTCCCCGATCCGTCACACACGACAGGTTGGCATGTGAGAGAGATCGCACCGCACAAAACCCGACCGGTAGCTCGGTCGAGCACGCAGTGGCTGAACGGATGGCTTGCGCTACAGTCCAAGCATATCGGTCAGTTCTTGCGAGGAGCAGTGCGACTGCCGCCTCGCCCACCCAGCGTGGTGGACTACGCTGTGTGGGGGCCAACCATGGAACGCGTGATGGAATTCGTTTTCATGCCTGGGCGGAACGGTCACATGACGTGGGGATGGATGCAACTACACGACGACGGCAACCAACGACATGCACAATGCTTCATGGTGCGACTCCAAAGTCCATGAATGTTCGGCATGCCCCATTGCCCTCGTTCGACCACCGCTACTGAACGAACGCTAGCCAGCAAGGCCATCTTATTGAATGGCGCCTGTAAGGAGGGGGGCTATCGACGACTCCGACCCGTTGTTTGTAGCATGTTCGTTATTGCATGGAATGAGTTCCTCCAGCAACTTGGGCCATATTGGCGGCGACTGTCAGTACGTCGCGGGCAGCCTCGCGCCCCGCCCCCAGAACACAGAGGTGGAGGTTGGTGAACGTCATCGCGACCCCAGTCACATGGAGTAATCACGGAGCAACATGTGGGGGTAGGGCAAGAAGCCTTTTCTTCGCAAGTCGTCGGCCGCTTGGATGGCGGCGCAAGTTGTCGAGCAAACCCAACTCGATCGCTCATCGCGACGTGAAGGCATTCACACGGGGCAACGGCAGGGCCGCACTCGACAAGCGCCGTGCGTGAGATGGAGATGTGGTCACTGTTCTTGACGGGGGCCGTGGACGTTGCCGAGATGTCGTGGCTGGTCCAACGACCGTGCGTGCTGGTCGAGTCGGCCACACATTGTGAAGCGACGTCAGCATGGGTTGCCTCCGCCGCATTTGGAATGTGTGGCAGTTGGATCGCCGGACGCAAGTCCAGTCGCGACATGTCCTTCTGCAGCATGCGGTGGGCAACGCAGCTCTCGGGGCAACGCGCAGAGAGCAGTGCTAGTTTGAGATTTTCATGCTAAACCATGGGCAGTGAAGCAAGAGACACCATATATATCCGTGCATAATCATATCCACCACCTTTGTCCATCGAGCACGAAACAAGAAAGCCCGTGGCCTGGCTCTGATATCCCAGGGCGACGTTAGACTGGCGCGCCGACACGGACGGTGTAAAGGAACTTGGCTTTCCTCTCGTGATGACGGGCCATGGCGCACACAATTCCCAAGCACTACACTGGCGCGTGGTGGAGGCGCGTGTCGTCGAATTGTAGCGACGTCTTGACGTTCCGCTTGAAGTTGGCGACGAGCGTAATCGATGTATGTGCATCATCTGACTTGTAAGCACATGTCGTGTCGGCTTGTAATCATCGCCGCACGACGCGGTCGCCCCACAATTGAAATTCCCGCGACCATGCCATTGCCCGTTCGCCAACACCCGCATCCGTATGCCCAAGTCCAGCACCTCGTCGAGCTCCCCGAGTCGCAGTACGTGCCCCCCGCGCCGCCTGCGTTTGACCAAGACTTGGAAACGTTTGAGCGCCCGGCGACGCTTCGATATGGCGATCCGGTCAAGTCGATGCTGTTCAAGCTGGACCCGACCGTCGTCCCCCTCAACCATGGTAGTTTTGGGGCGTGTCCGAAACCTGTGCGCGCGGTGCGGGAAGCGTACATCGACTTGCAAGAGTTTGAGCCCGTGAAATACTTTGACGAACTCGGCCCCCGCCTCGCCCGCGTCGCTCGCGTTGTGGCCAACTACGTCCACGCAAAACCCCACCAAATTGTCATGGTGCCCAACGCGTCGACAGGCACGACGTGTGTGCTGCGGTCGTTTCCATTCCCCCCCGGGTCGACGATCGTCTCGCTCGACCTAGGGTACCCCGCTGTGACGCAGCAAATGAAACAAGCGTGTGGTGGGCTCAACCACCATGTCATTCATGTGTCCGCGCCATTCACGCACGCCAAGATCGTCGACGCTTTCCGCCGAGGACTCGATGAGTGTGCTCACGACACGGTCGGGCTCGCTGTTGTGGACCACATCACGAGCGAGAGCGGGCTCGTGTTGCCTCTTCAAGTCTGTGGCTGCTGCCTGACTCGTTCGACAACTTATGTCGTTCGGTAGGAGCTCATCGGGTTGTGCAAATCTCGAGGCATCCCCGTCCTCGTGGACGGTGCCCATGGCGTCGGGCACGTGCCCTTGAACCTGGACCAGTTGCAACCAGACTTTTACGTGTCCAACTTTCACAAGTGGATGCTCGCGCCCAAGTCGGCTGCATTCCTCTTCATTCGTGACCCGAACAAGTACACGATCCATCCCCCCGTCATTAGCCATGGTCATACCAAGGGCACAAGTGCTGCATTTGGGTTTGTTGGTGAGAGGGGCCGTGCAAAATGCATGACCACAACTTGATAGTGGATTAATCGTAGGCACGATGGACTACTCGGCGTACTTGTCCGTCCCTGCCAGCATTGCGTTCCATACGAAGATGGGAGGGGTCGACTTGATGGCGCGCAACCATGCCTTGTGTGTCGCCGCCGCCCTCCAGCTGGCCAAAGCGTGGGGCACGTCGCTCTTAACCGACGAAGTGGACGCGATGATCGGGGCGATTTGCGTCGTCCTCCTGCCTCTCGAGATGTTCCGCAACCAACCCAACGTGGTTGACGCGCTCGAAACGTTGCATCTCGTCCTTCGCAAGCACTACCGCATCGAAGTCAAGACGGCCCTTGTCGACGGGGCTGCGGGGCTTCGAATCAGTGCCCAAATGTACAACGACGAAGCGGACTACAAGAAGCTCCAAGACGCCATCTTGGATATTTTGGCTCGCGATGCTGCATCCCTAGCATTGTAGCGACTCTGCTGCCACGAGCCAACTCGTTGCGCCTGTCAGCACATCTCCATAAGACTCTTGTGCGAAGTTCTCCGTCTCGTGCAGCGTTTACGACACAGACATGTCGCCTGTTTGTTCAGGACGCGAAGCCATTGGAACCGGCAAAAAGTGTGCGCTGTGATGATACTGGTGCAAGCATGGCGCAGAGCGTGATGCAACTGAAAGAGCATTCGGCTGCAAGGGGTGCCAGCCCCAATGGGCTCGTGGGTGATGTGGTCATGATGTCCCTGCCTTCCTGAGGTGCACACGGAACAGATTATTGACCGTTGATTGAGTGTTTCACGTCCGGAGGCGAACCAGCATCTTGGCGTCTCTAGAGAGGACACTACCAGTGCCACCGTGAATCCATGCAGACGCTTTCATTGCTTTGAGGCGATTGTCACGGGCATGCGGTCGACGCTGTCCCACATCACAACGGAGCACCTGGGAATTTGTTCGGTACAGTGGTGCTCCGCTCGACAGGTTTCGGCGAAAGGGTAATTTCACAAGTTTGAAATGCCACTTGACGAACTTTCCGTATACAGTGGAGCACCGTCCGGATACGACCGTGGTACAGGCGATCTGCGCGCGGCGATGCTGCGGCATCTCCTTGCTCAGGAAGGCGTTGATGAGCGCCGCATCAAGAAGTTAGAGGCCAAGGGAATACGCAGTCTCAAGAAGATGTTTCAGAAGTCCGAATGGGACCTCGCGCATATCCTAGACATGTCCGTCGACGATCTCCAGGTGCGCGTTGAACACGGCAAGTCTCCACAAATGTTCTTGGGAGTCGCAGACGCTCTTGCTGCGTGTGGCCACAAGAGATTGCCCCAAGCCATCCTCGGTACGGTGCAATAGATGGCTGAGCTGTGTTATGATTGAATCCTGTTCAGGTGATGGAAATGTTCCTCCAAAGTGTCAGCTTTCCGTCGTCTCTTCGAACCGCCTTGCCACAGCTCGACAATGCGCTATGCGGCGGGATCCCCACTGCAGCCATTACAGAGGTACATGGTATCTCCCGACGACAGCTTCGTTGCTTCCTGCGCTTTGTGTAGATCGCAGGGGTCTCCGCGACTGGTAAAAGTCAGTTCTGCATGCAGTTGGCGGTGCTGTGTGCCTTGGAGCACCATGACGGAGCCGTTGTGTATTTTGAAAGTTGTGGCAACTTTAGTGCCAAGAGGTAAGCGCTTGTCATGTGTCGAGCTTGCACGTATACACACATGGATGACTTGCATGTTCAGGTTGATGGAGATTGCTTCCGAGCGGCTCTCGCACCAGCAATACTCGACGGACGCCCTTCGACAATCCAAAGTTGAAGCAGTTGCGAGGCAAGTTCGCGTCGTCACCGTGGAGAATCTCGACCGCCTCGAGACCAAGTACATCCATCCTCGGCGACCGTCCCAAGTCATTAACGGCGACATGCGTAGTGTTCGGGGCTTGCTAGACACCATGTCTCTCGTCGGGGGCAAAATGCTCATCATCGACTCGCTGGCGACAATGGCCAAGAATGTAAATCGCCATTACTCGTGGCTGGTGCGTTGAATGCTCGTAGAGTGCCACCGAAATGTCCGTGGCGGACCGTCAGATGCTGTTGCTGCGAGTCGCGAGTGACCTCAAGTACGCCGGCCCAGAGCCGTCGAGTTCCCTCCCTGAGCTGTCACACCTACCATGGTAGGCTGCTGGCATCCACGTATGATGCGTACATCGTGACAACAAATCACACATCGACACGAAAAGACCACAGTAGAATCGATTCTATCGTGTCGAGAAATGCTAACTTGGTGTAGGCGGGCTATACTCGCAGCCAGCCCTGGGCTTGGCTTGGTCCCATTGCATCACAAATCGAGTACGTCGCCATGCCGTCGTCGCTTGCATATGGCTGCGACATGCTGACGAAAGAGTGTGGTTTTTGCGCAGATTGTGTTCGAGAAAGTCGGCCGTGGGCGATCCACGATGGCCATGACTGTGCACAAGGCTGTCGTCGCGGGGCCGGCATGCATCCCGTATCTTCTCACGGTCCGTTCGCCAACCCTTCCCGAAAATTTGGCAGTCATGGAAGGCTGACGACGTATACAGAAGGCGGGGCTGCAACCACCCGTGGGGACAGCGATCGATAGCTTTGACGACGAGTTCTCGTGGGACGAGTCTGTGCTGGATGCTTTGAACGGCGCGGATGACGTGCGCTTGCATCCTGTCCAACACGTATCCCAGCGCGATACTCCCAGTCAAGATCATGGAGGTGCTGCAACTTCTGCCGTGGTGTCGACCAAGTCGGACAAGCTCATCGGTGCCTTGGTTCACGAGGAACTCGTGGCTGCGACACCATCGGATGGCGAAGATGCAAGATGTGAGGAGGAGGTCCAACCACCAGCTAGTGACGCCGCGCGGCGTTATGTGGACGAAATCGTTCCTGCTTCGGACGATGACGAAGAGTAATAATGCAGAGGCATCATGCACTCCAGGACTGCGAACATTCAACTTGAAGACGTTGCGACACACACAGGAAGAAGAGCTCGTACAGGCATGGACCATCCAACGAGCGGTCGCTGTCGCCGCGGTGATCATGTGGAACGATGACGTGTTTGGAGCGATTTGGTTTCGCGACCTGCTTGCGTCGAGACTTGCGTTGTTGGCTGTGATGGATTGCAGCGCGACAACGGCGCGAAGTCGTCGACGGGATCGACGATGGTGGATGGGAGTCGCAGGCGTACCAGTGGACTTCGACGGTGCTGGTCGATACAGAATCGAGGCAACAGGGGTTTCAACAGCCGATCCAAACGGGGACAGTCAATTGTGTGGGCTGCCATTTGCTCCTCAAGCTGCAACGCCAGCGCCACGGCAAAGTCAGAGCTCGTGTCTGGACGTTGTGTTGGATCTGTTGCGGAGCTTGTGGCATCGACATTTGTCGACGTGTGCCATCCCTTGCTCGTCCATGATGTCTCGAAGCGACTTGGACGGGACTGTGATGACAGTCACCGCCCACGGGTGCATTTGCAAGATGCTTGCGATCGTGCGATCCAACGGCATTGTGCGAAAAGAATCGCTCGGCGACCACGGAAGCGGGATGGCTTCTTCCGGTTGTGGCGTTGGTGAATGATGGTCCGAGTGCAGCTCGTACGCCCACATGGACATACACTCCTGGTCCAGCGACTTTTCTTCGAACGTTCTCGAGTTGGCGAAGCAAGTTGGGGACGAGCGAAGTTTGGTCACTTTCAGTTTCTTGCACTCGGATCATGGCGGCCTCGTTGCTCCAGGCTTCGACATCTTCGCCCGCGTGGGGACGGACGTCGGCAGCCGTACCTGAACGAGTGAGCTTGCACATGATCATGGATGAAGCCCTGGCCCTTCGCATCGAGCACGACGACCTGATGGAGCTGGAAGGGCCTGGGGTATTCGTCGACCATGACTCCCAACCGGCGAACGATGACTTCGCTCATGATGTGAGCTCTGACTATGCGGTGGCGTTGGCGCTGCAGCTCGAGGAGCAGACTGCTGCCCACACGATTGAGTATGCTGTAGTCGCAACATCTAGTGCGCCCTGCCCTGCTTTTGACAGCTCTGCGGTCGTCCTCTTGAGCCATCACAACGGCGAGACGACGGAGGAGCGTGCCGATGAAATTCAAGACAAGTTGATGCACCACACTCGACCCCGTCCCAAGAGCCATGGCCTCAAAACGACAAGGAAGCGACGAAACAACCGAGCTGCAGCGACCGATGCGACAGTGTCTTGGAAGGATTTGTCCGACAGCGATTGCGAAGACGTCGAGTGCCCTGGGCTGGCGCTCGACGCGTTGCTTTTCGTCGCTACGGACGCATACAATGCCATTGCACCAGAATTGCCCTTTTACTCGATAACTGAGGAATAATGCAACCAACTCAATGCTCGACCCACACGCATCCACCGCCAGCCGACGCTCAAACTCACTCAGTCTCGGGGAATGCCACACTGCACATCTCCACGGAACGGTAGCTCATCATAGCGGGCGACACATTGGGGGGAGTACAACGCGGGTCTTTGCGACTGCGGCGCGCCCATTTCGCTTCGTTCAATGCCCCACAGGTCACACGAAACTCAGTCTGTCACCACCATCCATGGGACATGGTCCTGAATGATCCAAGGTCGCCCCTCCCCCTTTCGCCATGATGGCACGAGCCCGGCCAGCCCGACTGATCTCAACAATGAGACACCTGCTCGGACCCCCCATTTCAACATGAAAGGGAAGCCATGCGTGGGTAGCGACTTGATGGCATCATGTACTTGCCAGAGGTCCACCACGCCGACCTGCTGAGCGCACGACGTAGAGTCGACATTGTCAGGCGAGGGCAGCATGTGACGTCAGATGGGTACGTCAGTCGGCACACTCAAAGAATAGCACAAAAACATAGGGCATCTATATCATCAACGCTTCGTCCGAAATAAGCTCTTCGACCTCGTCGTCGTCACCGGCCGCCGCAGGAGGCAGCGCCACCTTTGCAGGTGGTGCCGCGTCATCGGCCAAGATGTCTTGCAGATCTGCACTGACCAAGTCGAAGACATGGCGGAACGCAAACAAGTCGCCGCCTCGTCGGCGCACTTCGACGAGGAACAGCCCGTCGGCATATTCCACAGGGTGGAGTCGGAGCATCACATCCACCCGTCCGGACGAGGTCGAGATTTGAGCTTTAGCTTTGACGTTTTCAGATGGCGTCGCGAGCGAGTCGGTCCACACGTACTTCAGCCCGGCCGTGTCGAACGATGCGTGCAGGCGCTGCAGTAAGTCGGCGGCCGAGGACGCAAAGCATCGAAGGGTTGTGTAGGCTGGGATGCCGCAGGATTGAATCGTGGGGAGGAACATGTCAGCGGAATGGAGGGACGAAGCGGACGGGGGCATGCTGATGGAGCGATGCGTGTTTCGGTCGAACGGGTTGAATGTCGTTTGGGCCGACGCCGCTGCTTTTGCTTCCTTGGCTTTCTGAGCTCGCACCTTTTCTTGAGTGACCTTTTCCTTTCGGGCCATTAGCTCCTTGGTCATTGCGGCGTCCGACAGCACAGGCTCATGCATCCACGGATGTTGCCAGATCTCTTGCAAAGTGATGCGCGTTGCCGGGTTCACGTCAAAGATGCGTGTGAGCAGGTCCATCGCCATGGGGGAAAACACAGCCGTTCGGGAATGGGCGGCCCAGAACGCTTGGTATTGCTGCATAGCACACGCACGGAACCACCAGTCTTGGCGCGTTGCAATTTGGAACGGCGGAAACCCAGCAAGCAGGATGAACAGCACGACACCGGCGCTCCACACATCGGCGGGGGATCCTTCATACGGTGTGCCGGCAATAATCTCTGGACTCATGTAGGCACGGGTCCCGCACTGCGTAGTCAAATCGTCGGCCACGGACAAATCTTCCGAGATCGCAGACAGCCCAAAGTCGGCAATGCGGAGCTGAAAGTCCTTATCGAGCAACAAGTTTTCCGGCTTGATGTCACGGTGGTACACTCCCTGCACGTGGCACGCGTGGAGTCCACTCACCAACTGCCGAAAGTACGTGCGCGCAATCTCTTCCGAGAAGTGTCCTGTAAACATCATAAAGTCAAACAGTTCACCACCCGTGGCGAGTTCGAGGACGACAAGCACGACTTTTTCTGATCCGCCCTTCTTCTTGGGGTATTCAACGTCTTTGGCCACGGCAAGGAGGCGCATCACGTTTGGGTGCTGGACAAGCTTCATCGCTTGAATTTCACGGTACAAGTTCAGGATCGCCTTCTGCGTGAGCTTCGACGATTTGATCAGTTTCAGGGCCACGTGTTCATTCGTCTTCAAGTCCACACCGAGCTTTACCTTCCCCTGGAGGCCGCTCCCGAGTGTCTGCATGACGGCGTACTGGTCGTTCAACACTCGCATGGCGGCCGCGTTGAAACTTTGAAAATGACTGATCGATTCCTGGAGGAATGCCAACCTACATTCCGTGGAGAGTGAATGCTGCAACCGCAATGCATGTGAGAGCGGCTTTTGGCAAACCTGGTGCGCCAAAACCAGCGATTGTCTCAAGCGACAACGCTGCCCATGGCGTGACCCGGCGGCAGCATCCACAAGACCACGACATCTTTACGTGTCGTGGGTATTACGCAGTACGCCGTTCGTGGATGCGTACGAGCGCAATCTAGTGCTCGGCTGCACTGCCTAATAATTGCGACCCGTGTTGAAACGCCATGAAGGCGCGATGTTCTGACAACATGCATGGATGTGCTCAACTGGGGAAAGCTACGTACGTGAGAACGACCGCCGTACGACGTGCATTGGAAGTGCAGCTTTGAGCACGCATGCCTGTCGCTTCTCGGAGGTTGCTGCTCCTCCAGTGTTCAGCGGCGTGTTGCCACGCTGGCATGTTGTGCGTGTTTTGTCAAATGAACATCATTCATATTTTCGGTAGAGGGACCTCCCGCCGCCAGCGAGAGAGCAGCATCGCGCGATGGCGGGCAAGTTTATCGATGCGTACGTGGAGGGTGTGTGGAATGTGTACGACGGCGACTTAAGCGGGTACTTGGACAAGAAAGAAGCCAAGGTGTTTGTCCTGAGCCTGCTGGATGAGCTCGCGAACGAAGGTGTTGACGTGCCCGTCGACGTTGACTTCGACGCGGCGTTTGCGTCATACGACCAGGACGGGAATGGCCGTCTGTCCCGCAAGGAAGCCCGTGTGTTTGTCGAGCATCTCATGGAGGCTCGTGACATCGCCCACGAGAAGACTGCTGCGGTTGGAGCCGAGACCCAAGCCTTCCTCGATTCGTACATGGCCGAGATCTGGACAACGTACGACGGCGACGCGAGCGGGTTCCTCGAGCGCGACGAAGCGCGGAAGTTTGTGGACAAGCTAATCGCTGACATGACTGCGTTCGGTCTCGACGTCCAAGGCTTCGACTTTGACGCGTGCTTTAACGCGTATGATCAAGACAAGAACGGCCGCTTGAGTCGCACCGAATTACGGGTATTTGTCGAGCAGCTCCTCACGAGTTAATTGCAGCCGCCGCTCCAGTTTGAAATGCGCGAGAACCCCCTGTCGAAATAAGCCGAATTTGATGCACTTCACCACCGTGGGCGGCACCCGCGTGGGTTTCGGGGCAACCTGGTGGAATGGCTCCCATGTAGATGCATGGCGTCAGTGGCAAGTCCTTTAGTGTGCTTTAGCCCGACGCTCATGGGACTTCTTGGCTTCCTGGCACACTACCGTCGCCGCAGAAGCGCCTTGGTCACAGCTACAGTCGTGGCAACTACCACAGCCATGAATCCCAGTGACATCAAGAAAGTTGCGCTGCGACGACTGCCTCTTCGGTCGGAGTCGTCGAGACATCGACGACTCGGTGACCGGGGCTGGAGCGACGCACTGCCTCGTCCACCTCGCGACGGCAGCTGCATGTACTGAGTCTTGGTGCGTTCGGTCATGCCGCCTTCCATTTCCTTTTCGATGATTCGGTACAGCATCGAGAGCACCATTTCCCCGTTGTGCTTGATCATCGGGACCTTCTTCCACTCGACGTCAAACGCAGACATATCGTTGAACGCCCGCCCTTGGACCAGGATCGGCCGCTCCGCCATCTCCATCTCCCTCGTCGGAAGCAGCAGCGTCTCGCCATGCTGGAATGGCAGCGTCGGCGGCCTTGCGTTGTTTGCAATGACATAGTCGACGACGTCGTCGCCCAAGTACTCTGCCAGAATGCGCAGGGTCTGCGGCAATGTGTAGCCGTCCGACTGGCCGTGCTGCGTAGCCACGTTGCTGATGTACACGACTGCTCCGGTGGCGCGCGCGATCGCGTCCTTGATGCCTACTCGTGTGTGTAGAGAGGACCTGTCATGTCGACCATGCGACTGATGCGTTCATCACCTGGCACGAGCAAGGTCGTGATAATGGACGTGTAGAACCCGCCGGGGCTGATGAGAATGATATCGGCGGCTTCGATGGCGGCAACTGCGGCGGGATATGCCGTCACGGACGCGTTGTCGAGGAAGACGTGGTCGATTGGCGCCGACTTGTTGGGGCTCCGGACGTTTTCTTCCGCCACGACGGTCGTTCCATCGGTCAGGACAGCGCACAGCTCTGCTTGATCGAGGGTTGCCGGCAGCACTTGGCCGCGGATGTTGAGAATGTCCGATATGGACGCAATCGCTTGGTCAAACTTGCCGCCGTGGATGTCCGTGAGAGCGGCAAGGAGGAGGTTTCCAAGGCTCGCGCCTTCGAGGTAGTGGTCTTGGAAGCGGTAGTTCATGAGCTGGTGGAGCACCTGGTCTACTCGATACCGTCATGCGGAACGCGATCGAGTGGACGCCCACCAGAGTCGGACAACGCGACGAGGCAATTCCGAATGTCTCCGGGCGGCAATATGCCCAGCGTTTTCCGAAGCTCTCCGGAATGCCGCCCCGAATCAAACACTGCAAACAAAACACGATCAAACCTCACGACGACTGCGGCAAGCCGTACCGGTGACAATCGCAGTCAAGTCAGCAGGGTATTCGCGCAACGCTTTGAGCAGCACAGCGAGGCCCGTGCCTCCACCGAGCGCGACGATGTGTGGTCTGGGGCGCCGCCCCTCGGCCAGGACGAGGATCGCAGGCAGTTGGTCCAAGCTCGACATCTATCGTGCCATGTCAGCCATGGCAAGTGCTGATGCTTCGACCTGGTAATGCGGCTGCTCGAGGTCGTCTGCAGGCATCGTCTTGGCGTATTTCCCGTAGACCTAACAACACACACAACACGAATGGGACGACAGATCGGGACGGAAACTTTTTTTGTCGCTCGTGCCCGACGAACCATTCGCACGGTGACGAGCCCCAATTGCTTGGCCGCCTTGAGCTCGGCAAACACGCGCTTGCCCACCAACACAAGTTTGGAGGTTGGTACAGCGAGTTGCTTCGCCATGTTCTTGAGCACCTGCGACGATCCAATCGAGTGGATGAGCTGACGACAACGTGGAGCGGACATACCGGCGTCACTTTGGACAGGTTGCCGTCGCCAGAGAGGTTGCCCGCCGGAACGACGAGGACGTGGTCGAAATACGATGCCACACCCAACGTGTGAATCTTTTCCCACTGCGATTCTGGCGTCCCTGAGCAAAGCAGCCCCAGCTTGTACCTGGCGCAAGCACACGATGAGCCACGGCACTGCATGCATGGACGACGAGTGTATACCCTTGCTCTTTGAGCGCTTCAAGAACAGGCACGGTACTCGGAAATGGCTGGATGTGTGGAGCAGTTCCCAGAACAAAAGCACTGGCGTTGTACTCGGCGATCACGCGCTGCGCGGCGTCGGAAGTAAGAGTGCCCCCAGACACCAAATCGTCCACGAAGAGTGCAAAGTTTTTGCGATATCCAAATGCGTGCCGAAAGCGTCGCAGCGAATCGTGGGCTTCGTCTAACGAGTCGAACGTTCCTTCCTGTGCATGACATGGGTGGACGTGACGGAGCGCGCAATCGAGACGAGTGAACCTCAACAAGCTGGTCAAACGCTCGCTCAACAGCAAGACCACTGAGTGTGCCTGTGTGGTCGTACAGGACATCGTCCAGCGTGAACACAATGGCTTCCACGTTCTTCGTGCGGCGTTGGATCTTGTGCTTGGGCATGCGAACGGCGCCGTGCTCTCGATTCGGAGATGGAATATTCCACGTTTTCGCTCGAAATAATCGTACACAATTCAACCCGTCGCCGTCCTGCAAACTACGATCCAAGTGGCAGAGCGTCATGGGTGGCCGGGTCATTAGCGCTTTTGCATGCACATTGCGAACGGCAGCAGTCGGGATCACATTTCCACTGCCACGACGTCCCTCGCATGCTTTGATCGATGAAAGACGTGAGTTTAAGCGCACGGGATAGATTATTTGTCCAAATATTATGAGCGCTTTAGGTGTGGCTCGAGTGTTGCAGGATGGCGTTCATGCGACATGGAGGGCTGTGCGTGGCGATCGCGGCGCAAGTCGCCCTGGGCACTGTCCAGCCGTTTGGTGGAGCATCACACCTTATCTGCTCCAGTGCGTATCAACAGGAAGTGCTGGCTCAGTATCCACTGGTGGTGTATTTCCATGATCCTGTTGTCCTGTACGTCTTGGACACGACGGCGTCGTGACCCACCTTTGTAGGCAACCTGCGATCGACCACCTCCTCGACACCTATCGGTCTCAAATTGAAGCGAGCGATTCAACGTTCTCAGCATCGTCGTATCTTCATTGGAAGGATGACACGGTCGTGACGGCAATCGTTCACAACCTCTTGCCTCGAGTGGAGCATTTCTTCCCGAACACAACCCTCCAGATTGAAAGCGCTGCTCTGACAAGGTATACCAAGGGCCAGTCATACTCGTGGCACGTCGATGCGTACGACGCGCGCACACTTCACGCTCGGGCCATCACGTTCCTCGCGTACTTGAACGACGTCGACGGCGGCGAAACAGTGTTTGCTCACATCGCCCAAAATGGAAGCACGTTTCCGTACAGGACACCGCTGGACCGCGCGTGTGCTACCTCGTCATCGCAGCACGTGAAGGTGGCGCCACAAGCTGGTCGAGCTCTGCTGTTCCAAAATGTCCTTGGGCACATGTCCACCCATGCGGCATGTGCCGTCACCTCCAGCGCCAAGTGGATCATGCAGTTGTGGATCTCTTCCACCACGCTCGATAGATGTAGCTAACCGCGATCGAATCAAGTGTGCATGTCGTAGTTGCCGCGTCCGACTTTGAACCGGCATAAGAGATGAAACCGTTTGGCGCCGTTTCATGAAACCGCACGCAGCACAGACACAGGGAGCTATGGACGACCACGAAGTCAAGTTCATCGACGTGCCCAAGGCCGTGGTGCACGCCCCTGTGCGCAAGAAAGGCATCCCCAAGAATTTGCGACGCCAGTCCATCCACCTGGGCTGGGACGACGACGACGTTGCGATGCCCAACGATGTCGGCGCGAGGCGAAACAGCACGACCAAGGAATCGGTCGTGCTCGAGTTTTACAACCCCCAGCTTCAGGCACCCCACGGCCGGCGACCGTCCACCACGGTATGGAACCCCATGGACACATAGCCGTGGTTGACGCTACTGCCGTGTAGCATGCCATGACCCGGGCCAACTACGCGTTGGACCGCGTCGCCGTGATCCAGCGCAGCCGAAGCGTCGTCACGTTTGTTGACCCGCTCGAAAACGCCACGCGGCGGGACTTGAAGCGGTCCAACTTGCTCCACCCAGTCGCAGTGCCACTCGTGATGTCGGAGGCGGCGACGCCGCTGCACGTCGGAACATCGCCACCCAAGCACAGGCAGCCGCAACGATGCCCCCAGTGCCACTCGAACCACGTGATCTTGGTTCCCGTTTGCAAATACTGCAAAAAGATGGCCGTGTTGTGCCAAGACTACACAGCGTTGAAACGACATGCGTATGCCATTGTGGAGAAAGATCCATCGATCGCGCCGATTCGAGTATGCTACTGCCTTGTCCATGATGCGTGCTGACGTGTTGGGCGGCGGTAGTTGATCGATGAGGTCGTGGGCTTTCTCCACGAGTACCACCAACAAGACGTCGCCCAGCCGCCAAACGAACAGACAGCCCCCGGTGGTGGTCGCAGCCCGGACCCAGCGCCCATCGATGATTCGAACAAGCCGGTTTTGATTCCCACGGACGAAGTGAACCAATTCGTGGTAGCACGGCGCCACAACCAACCCGCTCTGTCGGCGCTGTCCACTCGCGACGCGCTGCTTGAGCTCAAGCACGCACGATCCAAGGCTGCCACGGACGTGAAGCCGCCGCAGCTGAGCCACACGACAAAATCGACGATTGTGCACTACATCTTGGACTTGTTCTCGCAGCCCCATGGCGAACCCCCACACTGGACGAAGGAGCAACGATGGGACCACCAAGACTTGTGCCTTGAAATGCTCAAGACGTTGTCCATCAACGACGTCAATGACATTGTCCGCGCGTACAACGCGTGGAAGCACGTCGACAACATTGCATTGCGCCACGGCGACGAAGCCAAGCCCAAGCAGCCAGTGGGAATCGCGCCGACCGATCGACGGGCATCGATGCAAGTGCGTAGCGTCCGAGATGTCGTCCGGGGAAGTCATTGCACATACTGGCTGTTCTCCCAGGGAATGAAGGACGCGGAGGACGACGAAGCGGACCAAGTCGTACCGGACGTTCGGACGTTCCAGCTGCAGCGTCGCAAGGCGATTCGGCCGGCCGTGTCACCGGAAAAGGCCCGTCAACTCATCGCTCGCCGCGCGTCGATTCATGAAAAGGACTCTGCGTTGTCCCCCGCCGCATCCTCCCCTGCTCGTCGACACGGAGCCGAGGCCGTGGCATCGACGGACGAGGTACGAACCGCGTTTCGATTGCATGGAGGAGTCATCGCGCTGGCCATGCAAGGGCGAAGGACCCGTCGTGTCGCTGTTGGCAGAGCATCGCCACGAAGTCGAAGCCGAACGCGCCAAGCAGATCTTGCTCAACGCCGAACGCCACCAAACATTCACGTCGGATGGAATGTTTTATGTCGACAACACGGTGTTTTTCACGGCGTCCCTCGACGAGCGGGACCTGGTCGTCGTGCTTCAATTCGGTACGTACAACACAACACACACGATGCAACACTTTGTGGGCGGCAGAGCGCCAGGCGCAGGAGATGTTTTTGCTTGGGGACGAAGGCGAGCGGGAAGCGCTGCTGCACTTGTCGCCGGTCGGACGCGTAGACGTTGTTGGCGAGTGGATCGCCAAGAACGTGGACGACCGCAACTTGCTGATTGCGGCGACGAGAGCAAAGGGCCAGTTGTTGAGCTCGGACGAGCGCCGGCTCGTGCTGGCGATGGACGATGACGATTGTCGGTATCACTTGCACTTGTGGAAGCACTGGCAGCAGCAACAAGACCACCACCAGCCCACACCCAACATGGCGTTCTTACAACTCCACGTGAGCGGGCGGCGACGCCAGCGAGAAGAGTTCTTTCGAGTGCCGCGGTTCTGGACCAAGTGCATTCACGATCGCGACATGACAGTTCGCCCGATGCCGCTGTCCGTGGTCCGGCCGTTTTTGTTGGGCATCTATCATGCTGCGGCCAAACAGCGCATTGGTACGCCGACGAAGTACCGTTGAGTGCGTGGTGGCTCAGTGTTCTTCTTGTAGAAGGATACGATCTAGTTGAGTTTGTCGTTCAGTACATGACGCTCGAGTTTGGGGCCCAAACGAAGCTGCGGCTGCAAGCGCTCATCACGGCGCTGGAGCAATACTGCGTCAAGGACGCGTGGGTGTTTGCCTTTTGCCGATTTTGCGGGGTTCGTCCTGTCGAAGGACGGTCGGGATGCGACCTTTGATGTTGTAGATCGCCGAGCCCTTGTCGTCGGACTGTTTTACCTTTTACGTGTCGGCGCTCGAGTGCTTGCAATTTGCCGTCCCGAATCGGTCACAGCAAGCCGACTACTGCATTCCCACCCACGTGTTCTATCCGCTCTTTGTCAAGAAGGCGCTCATGGCCCTCCGCGCGATTGCGAACGATGCCAACATTGACGAAGCCAAGTGGCACGCCGCGTTGCGCGAGCGACGGGTGCTGTGTCCACGCAAATCGGTGCAGGGCAGCCCGATTCACGTCGTCGGTGCGTCAGAGATGCCGTCGTGGGATGCTTCCCGGCATGCTCTTGTAGGCGTTGGGGCGTTTTTGGATTTGGTAGTCGACATTTGGCTGTCGAATCGTCGTACGATGGAGGTTGAAATGCGTCGGATGTTCGTTCAATTCGACACGGACGAGAACAAAAGCCTGAGTTACGACGAGTTCAAAGCGTTTGTCCAGCACTGCCACCGCACGTTGCAGAACACGGTCCCGATCCACCGCCAAGCGACGTTTTGCAGACGCGCCGTCGACGAAAAGAACATTGTGAAGTTGTACGGCAAGTGCCTCATGCAGTCGGACCAGAGCGAGGTCAACATCGACGCGTTTGTCCTGGGGGGCATGGAAAGTAGGTATGCCAAGTCGACGTGTGTGGACGTAAACACTCGGACATAGACCCCCTGACTCTGGCCATGTTTGGCTTCGCGGTCCCGCCGACCGAAACGACGGCGGGAAGGAATTTGGCCATGCAGTTGATCATGCGATGCATGCGCACGTACGTCAAGCGCGCGCGTGCGGCGAAAGCAAGAGCGCACGAGCACACGTAACAATGGCAATTCAAATGGATACGATCAAGCGCTGTTGTCTCGGCATCGAAACGCATTGTCGAGAAGCATCGGCACCACGACCTGGTGCTACGACGGCTGGAAAAACAGCACGACAACGGTTGTGTCGTCGTGCACTTGGCGTCGCTCTCGGCCAGGTTTTAGCGCGGCCACGTCGGCCGAGCGAACCCTACGACGAGGAAGGAGGGAGCTGCGACGAGCGATGCTCAACGGCCCAGACTCACCGAAAATCCTCGGCCGTCTTGGCTATCACGCGGTCGATGACGGCTTGCGCAGCAACGTCGTGCATGCCTCGAGCCGCCAATTTGGCGACGATCTCCACGGCCTACGGCCAGCACAATCAAGAACCGATTGTGGTCGTAGCCGTGGGGTACTCACTTCTTCGTTGGACAAATCATCCCATACTCCGTCGCTGCCTACGACGGAGACGCAAATCTCAGTTGCAAACATGTCCCTTCAATCGAAAGTGGCGCACCCAAGACAAGGAATTGGTCCGCATCCGTGAGGGTGTGCACTTGCGTCTCGGGACCTGCCAGCACATACGGCGGTGTGTACGGCTTCGGAATAAAGCGGCCTCCGCCCTGTCGATTCGCGCTGGCAGGAAATTGGTTGAATTCAGCATACTTGAAGGCAAAATCGCCCAATGCCCTAAGCGGTATATCCTGTCATGTACGTGCATGTTGGCCCTTAGGGTACCTTGTGGGCTGCAGGCCCCCTTTGACATAGCAAGCCTCGGGAGTTTGGCACACGACCAAGTTGCGCTCGTTTGGATGGGCAGCAGCGAGTCGGGCCTGCTCCGACGCATGCTTGGCATTGTGATCCGTGCTTAGTGCAGTCGCGACTAGTTCTCCGTCCGTGTTCGTTGTCGCCAATACCGCCCGAACGTCTCCAGCTAGGACAGAGCCGTCCGTAGAACGTTCGAAGAACAAGGTTACTACCGTTCGCCACAACCAATGTGTCGCCTTGAGCATACGCCAGCAATGTGCAAGTCCCGACGCGATTCACTTGCCCGAATCCCAACTGAAAGGCTGGGAGGAGCAGCGATCGCAGCGTCTCGTCCGTCGACTCGAATGCAGACGACAGCGCCGACACAATCTGGCCACATGATCCGTTAGACATACTTGTTCGACAGTACATGCATCCTCGTTACGTCGGCAGAGTCGGTGGATGAACTAGCGCGCAATGCGGCCTTGGTATTGTTGACCAAGTTCTGGCGAACATACTCTGAAACTTGCCAGCCACCGTGACCGTCCAGGACGGATGCAAACACCCCATCCGTCTCAACATGGACAGTATACCGATCCTATCGTTGTAAAGTGAAGATGCGCCAAGACTTGGGGATCGGACTTCGTTTGGATCGTTCGCACTGTACGAGGCTGCGGTGTACCGGTGAACGCGGGCCACGGGCGAGGGTAGCTTGACGCTTTCGGCAAGGTCAAAGTTCAACGAGCTTCGATCATCAATCGAGCATTGCCCTTGACCATCGCAGGAAGATGGGGCCGTGCCTGTGGACCACAGCGCCAGGATCGTCGCGACGGACACAACCCGCATCGAAAGTGCCAATTAGTTTTGAATCACCGATTAGTAGTACTACTAACGTTCACGTTAGGAAAGGACTTTATCTTAAAAAAGTTCAATTTTGATCATTTTATGGTTTTCGACTAAATAAGGATCAAAATGTAATTATTTGAAAAATTTAAAGTATATATAAATGCACCCAAATATTCATCATTATTTGCTAATGTATTCCATAGATAATGTTTATATTTTTTACTTGTTTTTGCGTCCGCACACTGGATGCCCCTCATGCTGCATTGACGAACGTCAGAGGTAGAGAAGATGACCTGATCGGCTTGCTG